AACCCCCATCAAATCCAGCTCCGACGTTCTCCAACCACTCGATTGATCGAACCATATGGTTCTTCATTCTGGTTTTTGGGCGGCGTTGAATCGGTGCGATCAGATACAATGGGCGGGCACAGCTCGCGCGTAATCATCGTTACTTTTATGAATCTATAACGCGGAGAACGGAAGTGTGACCAGCGTCGACGGCATTCCAACATCTCTCCTCCTCTCTCTTTCTCTCTTTCTCTAACAGTGCCTCTTCATCTCTGTTCCACTCACTGGCAATTCACCGCAACACTATCTCTCTCTCTCTCTTTCTCTCTCTGTCTCGCTCTCTTGAACTCTCTATTTTTCTCTCGTCGCGATCGTCAAACGACGTCAAACGAGGATGAAGCCCAAGCGGAGAAAGAGAGAAAGAGACAGTGAGAGATAAAGAGAGAGAGAGAGAGAGAGAGAGAGAGAGACGAGCATGTAACGCAACGATATAAATTGATTAGGTTGGAGCGAGGATGGCCGGTAGTTTGGTTCGAGCCAACTCGGCTGCGATCGTGGATAGAAAAATCCTGGGAACGAGACCCTCGCCAACAACGGGCCCGAGAGCGAGCCAATGAAAATAAAAAGGATGTCAGATTGCCGCGGCGTCGGAAGTTACGGATTAAGTTAGGAAGTAGACAGTTAATGTCGCCTCACGGAGAGAGACCGAGAGCGACGCGAGAGAAAGAGAGAAAGAGGCACGTCGTTGGATCGTTCAGCGTGTGTCGGGCACGTTGGACCATGCGTGTCTGCTGTTTCTGCGTGTGTGTGTGTGTGTGTATGCACGTTCGTTCATTGGTTCGATTGCTGGCAACGTCGTTGAAAAAATTACGCCTCGCGAACGAGCCAGTGCCCGGACAACGCTTTTTTTTATCACGTTGAACCAGTATCTTTTCCATTCCGTCGATCGCTTTCGATCGATGCAAACAGAGACTGACGGGAGGTTGAGATTTTGGAAAGTAATCGATCGAGAAACAAAAGAAAATTTTCTGTCACGCGTTTTCGATCGTTTGTAGGTTTGCAATGTGTTTGTAGGTGATTTGGAAATATCAGGTGTGCAGTAGTAAACTCGTTCGTCTCTTCGACGATATTAAGATTCATTGGATAATACATATAATGTCGCTTGTGATTGTAAATGGAAAGAAAATCAAATATTTCAAGTATAATTGGGAGATTGAGAATGGAATGTACGATATTTAAAATATTGAAACACTCGTTTGTTATTACAGAAATGATTAATGAAGCTTATTGAAACGTTTTCTGTAGCATTAACATTGGAACGTTAATCATTCCAACACAAGAATGATGTTCTTTACTGATAATAATTATATAATTTTATTATTCAGTGCAACCATGTAATAATATAATATATTATAATATATAATTAATATTAAATATGATATAATATGTATAATAATTACATATTATAATATAATTATATAATTCATTCATCTTTGCCTTCTCTTGGCAATCTTTTTTTTTTCTACCTTGACACTCAATTTTTCTCATTACGATTGAGAATTTTCATATATACATACATTGGACCGAGAAGAAGAGAATCGAGGCGACGACATATCGATCTCGAACGTGACACTTTGCTTCAATAGTCAGCGTCAACCGGACAATGGCCGTGTATTGACCTCTGGAGGGTGGGTGAGATGGCGATATTACGTCTGAGAGATGAAACCTTGACCCTAGAGCGAAGGCTGTTTGGGTGTGCAGGCCCGGCATTGGACATTTCCGCGTTCCATTTCCTACTGTCCTGATCGAAACTCATTAACGTCATCGTCATTTACATGCAAACCATTTCCAATAACAAACATTTGCCTAAAGAGAGAAGGGAAAAAGTGGAGATTTCACAATTTCCACGAAATCTCCACTGCTTCGAACGAGGATCTAACCAAAGTTGAAAGAAGAGAGGCGATTCAAAGTTAAACAGATGCTCGATAATGAAATTTGAAATTTTTCTTTCGAAGGTAAAGAAAGTCAAAAGCTATCAAATTGATTAAATTCAAGTTAAAAAAAAAAAAAAAGAAAAAGAACAGAGGAAGAACGCCCGCTTAAGAAAGTCCTCATAACTCTCTGAAATTAATTAAACTAACTACCATTAACTAACCAAATTAATTAAATTTGAAAGAAATGACGTGAAATCAGAGAGATTAAAAATTTCGAACTACGTCACACGAAGCACGTCTCGACTTTCAACGATTTTTCTCTCTTACCTTTATCAATCTCTCCCTCGAAATCTGTCCTGTTAAAGGAAGAGCAAAACAGAGAAAAGTCGAGAGAGTGAAAAACACCCATGGCCCCCGTCGACTCGAATTTTTATTGGCTCGCTAGTATTTTTCTTTTTTTTTTTTTTTTCTTTTTCTTTTCTTCTTTTTCCACCAAAGGTACCGCTACTCTGACCTGAGACACAGCTGATTTACGACGGCCTAAGGGATCCTTTTCAACGATGTCTCGCATTCTGATCGCCAATCATTGTTCCCCTGAAACAATGTCGACCGTTGGCGTAGCAAAGCACGCCAAAAGCCATAGACTACCAAGTTCCTTGCCGAAGAACCACGTCGAGGCTCTCGATCCTCTTGATTAGAAACGCTTTTTTGCGCACATTGCCGATGAATGGCGATTGTTGCGTATGGTGTTCATTGTCAAGCGATTGCGATCCCGGAGACTGTTGTTGTTCGATTTGATGGGTTTATTGGTTGTTTCGCTATCGCGTTAACGAGCGAATTGTTCGACTCGATTGTTCGATTTCACTTTATATTTTCTTCTTTCTTTCTTTCTTTCTTTCGTTGGGACAAAATCTGCCTGGCGTACAGTGATTTTGATCTTGGAAAAAAAAAAATTGTTCCTCTAGTCGTGGCAAATGTGAGAAAGCCCACTTTGTTTCGTTGCGAATTCTTTACGTGCGTTCTACATTATTCATTGCGCAGGGGATTCTTGTTGTTGCTACAATTAGAGCTGCAAGAAGTATTTCACGCGCTTTAATGAATTCTCTCTTTGTTGCGAAATTTCATTCGGTATCGTTGGTTAATTCAAAACGACGATTCTGATCTATTTTCTTGCGCACGTTGTTCACAATAATAAAAGTTATTCTTAGCAATCTTGACTCGACTTAACTTTCAAATAGTTGAGTTGTGTGTGTGTGTGTGTAGACGACTGTCGTTATTCATGTTGTAAATTTAGATTGATGACAAAATCAGTTTAAATTAAAATCCCTCCTCAAGTAATAATAATTATTCACGTTCAATTGTTGTAACTTATTTTGACTTTCTGACACAATGGAGAATACAAAATAAGAGTGAATTAAATTAAAATTCTTCCCCGAGTACTGTCCCAGTCATCATTCACGTCAGATTACTAAACCTCGATTTTATTTTACGTTCTACACTCTCCGAACGTTGATAATAAAATTCAAGGCTCCAAAATTCAATAATTTCATCTCATATTACTTCCAAATTGCCAATTAAAAATTAAATAAAAAAAAAAAAAAAAAAAAAGGAGAAACGTCGTTCCTCGTTGAAACAATTACATACAAACAACAAAGGAACAAAGTTATCTACGACCAGAAGTAAAATCAATCGAAAAAAAAAAAAGAATATCTATCCATATGTAAGAAACACAAAGAATTCACAGCTCTGAAAATTGATTCGAATCGAACCGAATCGAAAGGGAAGGAAAAGGAGGCGAAGAGTTGAACGGATCAATACACAAGAAGGTACATACAAGAGTGAGAGGGAGAGGAAGAGGGGGAAGGGGAGGAAAATCGAAAGCACCTCTCTCATATTCACCCACCTTGTGCATAGGAGTGCCCCAGAAATCATTGTAAAAAACGTTTTTCAACGGTGTATGAGGCCTCAGGTCGCGATTATCTTTTATCGCTGAAATGTCATCGAAAACGAAGCCGCAATTAAGGCTGTTCAAATAGACGGCGAACGCGCTTATGGCGACAATCGCCGCGAGTGCTCCCCGCGCAGGCACTCCCATCACAAATAAGACATTGATCGGCCGTATTTTTTCTCGCGATCTCCGACTTGGGAAAATCTAAACTCCGGAACGTTCCTCCAATCTCTCCGAACGACTTGGCTTGCCTCCCTCCCTCTGGCTAAACACCTTTTGCCCCGAGTTTCTCTAACTATTTACGCTATCTATCTAACTAGCTACGGCTGTCTGTCGAGCCGAGAGAGGTTTAACCCCGCGATGTCCAGAGGAGACGCAGGAATCTCGTCTCTAGGCACGTGAACGTCGGTACATTCCTCTTCGAACACATTATGGACGCTTTACGTATCCAGTGTTGCAAGATACGAGCGGGCTTCCTCACGGACCGATCCTCGGAGTTCGACGAGAGGCATGTCAATGGCCAAGAAGCGAGCCTCGAACGTTCCCGAACGGGAAGGAAAGGTTAACACCGGAATGGACAGCGATCCCAGCGATAACGGGATCGTGGATTACAGATGCGCGCGTTAAGATCGAACTGTCAAACGAGAGATGTGTGTACGATTTGTACAGGCGATGCACGCTACGTGTCGCGAAACGAGTACAACGCAAGTACGATGTTACGACGGCGACGACGCGGATTTACTTTAGGAGGAGCACGCATGCGCAGTACGCGACAAAGCGCGAACTCACCACCATGCACGACTTTGCCGGTATGCGATTCAAAATATTTTCATTCGATTCTAAATATCCTTTCCTTTCCTTATTAACGGCGATTGCCGTTTTTACTTCTTTTTTTTTTGCAGCAAACGATTGGCATTTAACAAGTCCAGACGTTCTTTCAACTAGCATTTCTCGTCGAATTCTCATCGTAGAAAATCGTATGTTTGGTTAACCTAACATACGTGCCGGCACACGATTCAGATTACCGTGCTATATATAATTAAACAACTCGATGTTCAGGCGTTCAACGAATTACGAGATTTATTACGATATTTAACGATTGAATGTCACTCGCTTAGGTTCCATTTAAAAAATAAATTCGAAAAAAATAACTTGCAAAAAGGAACTTTAATTTTCTAGGGTCTAGACAGAAGCAAAAATACCAATGACAAAAAATAACGAGGAGATTCCTGAAGTTTCGTGTCACAATTGCAGGATAAATTTAAGAGAGTTTAACAACGCAAATTGACTCGGAGGAAATGAAATGTTTCCTTAAGGCGGCGGTAGTGATTCTTCACTAGGTGAATTTCGTTTGTCTGCATTACGTAAGTAATACTTTTGTTTATTTTACAGAAACAAGTAAAGCACTGTTAGATCGTGCAACGATGTTATAACAGTTAGTAAATGGAAAAAAAAGAAGCAGGTAATGCGAGCTGTTTGAAACAAAGCGATCGCGCACAGTTAAAGTCGACCAATCGTAGCGTCGCATCGCGTTAAAATCGCGGTGAGGGGGGAATCGCATCGTGAACGACTCGTAGGACGACAGTCGAGGTAGGCATGCCTTAAGCTTCGTTTGTGGTGATATTTGCTCCATTTAAAACAGTTTCATCGCAAGGTGCCGAAATCAAAATTTAAATATCATCGGACAATCTCGATGAAGTGATCGTTGCCGGTGGGATCAACGCGATCAGCTCGACATTTGACCGGCCAGTTGGCAACATTTCAACACGGGAAAATAGCAACGTTCCCGCAAAATTCGAGTAGCGTCCCTCTCCTGAGAAGAGTGAGTATTTAAAATTTCGTTTCTCTCTGTTATTTGCGACAATGCAAAAATGCAATTCACACGATTCGTACAGTGAGCGATACGTCGAACTGAGTCGTGGATAAAGTCAGCTAAATTCTGTCGATAAAAGAAAAAAAAAAAAGAAACTAAAATTATTTTTGAACAGTAGTTACCGAATCAGAAGTGATGACCGTTGCGGTACAGCAAATAAGTAAACGAGAAAAAGTTCAATAAGAATATAATTACAGCAGGGAGAATCCTTGTGGAAATTTTAGACACATTCCGGAGTAATGATTTATTCAGTTAAAACGGAAAAGGAGCCAGTAATATCATAGGGGAAAGAAGGTAACTGAATCGTATCCACGAAAGAGAAAGTTCAACGTATTTGTTTCGGAACTGCGCGACAGTGGCGATGCATGAAACATAATATAAAGGGGCTGTAGCTAGGGGAGAAGAGGCACAAAGAAAGAAAAAAATCGCTTTACGTTTCGAATGGCGAAATTTATTCAATCGAATTTTATCGCTGTGGACTCACCGACTTACTGCCTTCGCCTGCTGCATTTACATTTTTTTTGGAGCAAAAATTAATTGTACACGTTTTTGTAAGGTTAATTGTTTCTAAACGTGTACGTTGTATTTACGTTATTACTATCTAACAAGAAGAATTATTGTCATTATAGTAAGAGTTGTCTCTTAATTATTATCAAAAATTATAAGTAATAATTGTCGAAAATTTATCTATCACTTGATAGCATTGATCTTATGATACAACTGTGATTCGTGTTATTATTTTTCTACCTCTTACTTTCAGTTAGTATGTTTCTAAATTTTAGTTTCTTTTTTTTTTTAAATTTGACGATTCAAGTTACCTGCCAAATTTTCAAAACACCATTCCATTTTTGTCCAAATTTCAAATTTGTAACTCAAATATTCTATATTGATCGCGGTATGATAATTAAACATTTCGGGCAGAATTCGACGCGTGTAAAAGGTATAAAAGTTTTTGCTATCGGGAAAAGTAGAAGTGAAGTAACTATGTATTGCTAGACTCCTCGAGGCAATAGGCTCGGAAGAGAGCAATGCCATCCGATCGATCGGTTTACGTCTGGGCGTCCCGACGCCAGCTGCAACGCTTATACGTATACAGAGTGTTCAGTCCAACACGGCGCACGATTTTTTCAGTCAATTTCACCGGTTATGATATTACGAAACTGTTATCGATCGAAATTGATCTCGGTCGGGTCCGTGTACAGACAATTTTCTACCGAGGATCGTTGTAATGTTGTAACAATTGCTCTCTTGTATAAAAAAAACAAACGTACGTCACGGAATTGAAATAAGTATCAACCCTTTCGAGAATTATTTCCATTCGATCGTTCACAAATGTTTGAAATATTGCACGATAATTGATACAGTTCGCGACGGTGAGCCGAAAATCCATTTCAATGCCACGAAATTCGGATTTTTCATGGAAATTTTTACAATTCAAATTTATTTACGCAGTTACGTTCTAACATTGAAGAAAGAATGATCAAAGAAGAGAATGAAAGAAAAATTTCGTCGCAGAAGAAACGACACGCAGCTTCAATTGGAATGAACACCCTGTATGCAGGGGCACAAATTGCGGTTTCCCCGTGCGTTTTCCCTTTGATTGCATAAACTGTCATTGGGAATCACATTTTTCTTTTCTTTTTTTCTCTATTTTTCTGTAATCATGATATCTCGCCTTTCTCTTAAAATACTGTTTTTTTTTTTATTCTTTCAAATCTCGTTCATTAAGGATTGAGTCATGAGCCAGGAGGATCAAGAAAAGAGTATGGATAAGAAAGAGATCGCGGAGGAGGAGCGAGAGAAAATGTTGAACGCTGAAAACACAAAACATACGGTGGCATCGACCGCTCCAGACGCGGAATCCGAAGACCAGAAACCTAAAAAGAAAATTCCAATTGGCGGTATTAAGATGCCCGGCTTCTGTCGTACAAAGAGCAAAGAACTTTGCAAAGTAATGACAAGTGAATGTTTCTTTTTCTTTTTCAATTCCTCTTTGAAAATGCTGCTTCTCGTATTTGTCCCATTGTTTAATTGTACAGATTATTTGTTGTAATACTGCAAACTAGCACAAAACTGTATTATTCCTTAAATAGCTTCTTCTCTCAAGACACACACGTACATAGAGAATTTGATGAGATCCAGCATGCTACGAGCCTTATCACCCTATTCCTCATTCCGTATCAGCATCGTGTCTCCTCAAGAAATGTAAAATTGATAGCCAGACTGCGGACGTTTGTGAAAATTCAGATTCCTTACTCACGGCAAGAGATCTAAAGTCTGACAGTAAATCAGAGATTTCAACGAACACTTTACGCTTTGGATATTTTATATATCTCTGCGCGTTGCGTGCATCACTGTATAATAGTTTTACGCATTTAGATTTTGCACAAACGCATACACGCATTCTTAGTCTACCGATGAATACTTTTATGTTTTTCCTCATCCTGTAGAGAACAAATTTCATTTCTCGTCGCAAAAGTTCATTAACTTTAATATTTCATTCAGTCTCTTAATAATTAAAATTGTTGTGAAAAATTTTGTACCGGTGTGAGTTTCTCTATATTCTATTTTATATATTCGAGTATGCTCTGCACGTGTTGATAGTCACGCAATTTTACCGCGACCATTTGAACAATAAATTGTTTACTATTAGCCCAGTGAGGCGACGCGTGTATAACGTAGTTAATCATAAATCGCGTCAAAAGTTTTGATTCAAAACGAATTATAATCAGCAAGTAACAACACTATGAATATAAATTTTTTTTTTTTTTCTTTGCTCGATTAACATCTGTTTACGACGAAACGACGTCATTAAAAAGAGCACAAGTTCCTGGAGCACCATAGCATGTTCACGAGGGGTGCTCACAGCCCCGTAACGATTTCTTTTCCAACATTAAACCAATGGATGACGTCAGACGCACAGCACACCTGGCATTATTGATCATACCTTTTAAATAACAAATATCGCCGCGAGAAATGATCATGATGATCTTTGAATTAAATATCCGACGCGTATATACGTGCGCGCACAGAGAGAAACGTACTCCAAATGATTTCTATTATTAGGAAGACGATGGTAAACCCGCCGAAGCTGGAGAAGGCGATGCTGCAACGGAGAAGCCTGTTAAAGAAAGTGATCAATGCGCTTCGTCGGAGAAAACAAGCACGCCGAATAAAGACGCGAAGGAAAAAGAAGGCCGCAAGGGGATCCTCGGCGCCATAAAGTTGCCCTTAGTTTCTGTTTTCCCTAGAAAAAAGAACAAGGTAGTTGAACAGCTGACACTTGGCCTTTTCTCCTTTTCATCTTTGTGAGATCTCTGTATTGAAATATCTTCAGAAAAAAAAAAAAAAAAAAAAAAAAAAAAAAAAAAAAAAAAATAGAAGATAAGAACGAAGTTTACCGAGCAAAACCCTATAGAGCGAGGGTATATTCTTGAGAAGATGTAATTCAGTTTGCTCAAGCATGTACTACTGCCTTGTGTCGATGGCATATACTTCATCGTTGACACTTCATTTTTTTTTCTTTTTTTTTCTTTTTAGACAATAATATTTTAACGTACGCGGATATTGTAGATATAGATTCGTAAATAAGTAAGCAGAAATCACCTGCTCATATTTTGCAACTGTATTTTGTAAATTATTCTAGGAAGGCGAAGTGGAATTGGGGACTACCGGAGCTGCTGGACTGGCGAGCGTCGAAACGCTCGACGACGTTGAGAAAAATCCGATTGGCAACGAAGACGGTATGGAAACCGTGCGACTCGACGGAGATGCCCCAGACGGGATCGAATCTCCTAAGCAGCATTTTCTTGTAGCTTGTATATCCGCCGCCAGAAGAAATTTATTCGTGCTAGGTAGAAAACCATCATTTCCCTTCTTTCACTTTAAGTTTCAGATGTTGAACAATTGCAAGAGTTTAACATTGTAATACAAATAATCCAATATATACAATAATTTGTGTGTTAACAACAGTGACAACACTATGTGTCTTGGTGTCAGTCGTGATCATCGTCTGCATCGCTTGCATCGGCCCGAGAAAGAATATCTCGCAACCGGTAAAGGATGGCAGCTTCGTGAAGGCAGTAACTTCCTGCGGGCCGGTACAAGGTGTCTCGGAAGATGGTGCGTTCGCGTTCCGTGGGATCCCGTATGCGGTTCCGCCGTTAGAAAATCGTCGTTGGCAGCCTGCGGAACCGCTGAGGAAGATTGAGTACTGTTGGACGGATACGTATCAGGCACACAACTCTTCGAAAGTCTGCTGGCAACGAGAAGCCTCCGGAAGAATTATCGGAAGCGAGGACTGCTTGTATCTAGACGTATTCACGCCCGAGGTCAGATATGACTTGCCTTTACCGGTTGTCGTGATGATCGGTGCTGAAACACTTAATGGTGGTTCTCCAGGCGTGATGCAGCCTTCTGCAAAACTCGCACGTGTTCGTGACATGGTATTTGTTAGACCCAACTTTCGGTTAGTATCAGTTCAATTTTAACAATGTTGTGATCTCTTCTGTTAAGAAAGTATTCTACGATGATAAATTCTGTTACAATTCAGGCTAGGAATTTTCGGTTTCTTGGCTGCGGAGCCGCTGTCAAGAGCGTCGCATCCTCTTACGTCTGGAAACTACGGACTGTCCGACATTATAGCAGCGCTTCAGTGGGTACATCTTAACATTGAGAACTTCGGCGGGAATAAATCGGCCGTAGTCCTTTGGGGACATCGGGCAGGAGGGACTCTCGTAACGACTTTAGTCGGCATCCGGCGAACGAAAGATCTCTTCCAAAGAGTATGGATCTCTAGCGGCAGTGCGATATTCCCTGGAAGAGAGTTGGAAGTTTCCGAGACGCTCAGCGAGCTGTTTCTGAATTCCACGAGATGCAACGACGCCGCCTGTTTACGAAGCAAGAGCGCCGAGGAGGTGATGGACTCGGTTCCTGAGACCTGGCATTTGGGAAATGTCGGCCTGCCCGAGACCAGGGAAGCAACAACAAGAGATAGAAGGCACGAGTGGTTAGTGCTCGACCGTGCCATTCTTCAGGAGCCTGTCGGCCAAATTTGGGCAAGGGATGAATTTCAGGTGAAAATCGTGATGGGCACGACTGCCCATGCAGGAGCGCCTCTCAAGTATCTTACCTCTAACGCTACCCTCAACTCTACGCAAGTGGAGAAAATCGTGAAAGAGTCCTTATTAGGTACGTCGGGTTTGGCAGACGAAGCACTCAGGTGAGAATTTTTTCTTTTATATTTCATCGTTAACTGAGATTGCAATGGGACATTAGAGAACGTAAGAAATTCTAATTTTTTTCAGACGTTATAACACAACGTTGAAAGGTTTGCTGAGCATGATCTCGGACATTCGCGTGATATGCCCATTATTGACAGTGGCCAGAATGAAGACCAATATTCCATTTTACGTAGCAACGCAACCACGCGGTCAGTTCGCAGATCCTGATTGCGATGCCTCAGCGATACTTGGATCGTATGCTGCTCGTACGCCTGCCGAGAAGAGACACGTATCTGCAATGCAACAACTTTTCAATCATTATGTCTGGCACGACCAGGTAGCTCAGGCAGATCCTCATGGCGTGAAACGAGTATTAATCGTTGGACAAGACACGCTTCCTGACCGTGATTATCCCAACTGCGACTTTTGGATAAGAGAAGATATAGTCCCGTCTTACGGTCGAGTCGATTGAATCTTTCTTCTTTCTTTCTTTTTTTTTATCTGTTTTCGATAGCCATTCAAGATTTCCATCATACTCGGGATATATTATACTTCAAAATAATTCTGCTTTGCAAACGATACATCACCGATTGATTTTGAAAGCAGAAACAATTAAATTTTTAAGTTAATATTTTGTTTTATTAATCTATTTTTCGTACTCTAATTTTCTTTATAATAAGAGGCGTCGCTATATGTTGCGAAAAATTGAACGAAAGATTATCATCAAGATATTTCGTTGCAATTTACTGGTATAATGTTTAAAATACTTACCCAATGCATACCCATATCATAATTTTAACATAAAGTAATGATAGAAACGCAAACGAAATGCACGTTACTTATTTTTGTTAAACTGTAGGAGCAAAGAATGAAGAACGATAGTTATCCAGAAGTCTGTATTCAAGTCAGAAAGCGTTAAGAATTATTCTTCTACAGTTTTACCTTTTCTTTTCTTTTTAGCTTTGAATAGCTTTCAATTTATGAACTTGTACTTAACCGATACAAAATACGAAACGATAATTATTTATTATTACGATTTCACAATTTTTCTATATCAAAATTGTAGATATCGGTCTTTTGAGAATATCTTTCTTTTTGCAGAATGCGAAACTCAGTCATGTCTAAGCTTTTATCAGAGATTTTTTAAGCATTTTATTACAAGGCACCTTGCGTTGGTTTATCCAAATGTTTTCTTAGCACATCGAGAACATGTACCACTGTTTTTTTTTTTTTCAACAAACTGCCAGATATTTATACATATAAAAAATTCACGAATTTCTACAAAAGGTATTCAGTAGTTTCTTCTCTGTACATATATTGCTGTTGCTGTTTTCACTTTTTATTTCAGTTTATATACTCACGAAATATTTCTACCCGCGTAACGAATATAGGAAACTATATAACATGTATATACATATATATAAATATATATATATTATATATATCTAAAATTTGATTTTTAAACTGTAAGACTGATTTTACAAATTGGCATTTCATTTCCGTATGAATGTCCCTTTATGTTAGTTTTTAACGAAAGATAATTTCATAGTGTAAAAGGTCTCTGTTCTTCAGGCAGAATTCTTATATTACAAGTGAATGAGCGATGGATTTTCTTTAAATAATGTCGGCGTTCGTGTATGTGTATTTATGTAATTCACGTTTTTTCGCATTATGAAATTGCACCGCGGCACATGCTTGTCCCCTTAAAATTTGTGTAGAGATTTAGGAATATGTATTTGTTTCGATAACAGTTCAAATTGAAGTATTATATTTTTTACCGATTCAGAAGTAAACAAGACGATTATAAAAGTTGAAAAATATTCCTAAGTCTGTCGCAGCTTTAACATTTGATTAATGTCATTTTTTGGATTGCGTCCGGATGTTTGTGTGATATTTGGGACGAAATAAAATGTAATTCGTTTTTCAACTTTTATATAGTTGAATAACATTGAATACGTAATAAGAATTATTTATTGATAGAGGTCTCACGATTATCGTAATAATTTGATCGTCATCTTTCTTACTTCATTAACCGTAAGTTTAATTCAATTAAGAATTAGGAAGTGCGAATTAATTTAATGTCATTGTTATTAATTTACGCGATAGTGGATATTTGACCAAACTTGACAAGTTTCAATGACCTTAGGAAAAGTGGCCTTTTTTAGAGAGGATAATTTTGTAAAAATTTGTGCAACGTGTACGTTGAAAAATACGAAATGTAACGGGAGGAGAATCCTTTTTAATTCGCATATTTCCGATCAATCTTCAAACCGCTGAAACGATCTATTTATATAAAGGTCTACGATCCCTTGAATAAATAATTATAAATCTTCGAAGTTACGAAAATAGTCACATTCCCTAATAAGTACTTAAAAAAAAAAAAAGAAAAAAAAATGAAAATAAACACGTATTTATGAAAAATTAATGTTCATGTTTTTAAGTATGTGTGCATGCGTAACATTTCATTCGAAAGCATTCGATTTTGCATGAATTTGCCAAAATTGCAAATGCGTCATTTCTTTCTTTTCCTTTTTTTTCTTAAATATACAGAAAAAGGACAATAAAGATATGAGAACCTCTGGCGAAGAATGCGAGAAATTGATTGAATTATTTTTATAAACGGCTGCCGGTGAGAACCACTGCTTGGAATTCTTGGGACTACCTGGTCGGCAATCTTGCGTTTTAGAGTTAGTGGAGCAACGATAAGTGCGGTCTGTTGCTGTAGGTGTATTCTGCAGTCGCCACTTCGCGAATCAACAGGTCGACGGAGATCAGCGTCGTTTAAAAAGCTGAGCGGTCCGGTTTTCTTCGAACGCGAGTTGCTAGAAAATGTACCGGTACGATCGAGGGGCAACCCGGAACACGGACAGCCGGTGAGAGAGAGAGAGTTTTATCTTCGAGAGCGTCTGCGAGGTGTACGAATAAATTCCTCGCATTCCAACGCTGGCCCAAACTCCCGCGGGGCCAGCATCTAGATGAGAATGTTACTTTTGTGATTACTCATTCGGTGACATCCGAGGAATGCGGTAAGGAAAATTTTCTTTCTCCTACGCTTCGTAATTTCGTTTCTTTCTTTTTTCTTCGCTCTCCTCTCTTCCAGATTGATACGATACAACAATATCAGCCATTGAGATCGTTACTTTCTGCTAGGCGACCCAAGTCCCTGAAAAGTCAATTTTTCAATCTCAACTTTTTTTTTTAACGTTACCCGCTGCTACATTTTGTCGCGCGTTTTATTTTAACTTTGTATTTGTAGTTCCTCAGTGCTGTCACATATGAATGGTCAACAGTGTGATCTGCAATAATAACATTTAGTGTGATAGCCATAATAAAAATTTATTCGTTTAAGCTGACTGTTAAACTACAAAAATTGTTCTCATAAAAAAAAATATATGTATATATGTACAAAGTAATTTTTTTATTTTTGAGTAAAAATTAGAAAAATATATTTAGTAATTAATGTAGGATATATTAATTATATTGAACATATATAGTTATGTTCAATATAATTACCCTTGAACATTAATTAAATATTCAATTTATTAAGATAACGTATATTTCAGCTAGAATAAGATCTTGCATCGCACGAGACGACTCCTACATTGTGGAATGTGTGGTATAGGTTGACAGAAAGAAAAGGTGCTGGATAATCCAAATGGATAACAAAAGCCCATTATGGCCCAGCATCTGCAGACACAGCATCAACACGAATTTTTACCACTGTGCGATGTATTGTTCAACATAATCTCTCTTGCATCGTATTTCTGCGACGTTGTCTTCGACTTTGCGATGGTATATGCTCTTGCTCAACATTCCGTAGCACCTCCAGTTCTATTTCCTCTAAGCATTGTTCTTATAGCAACTTCATTGATCATTTCTCAGGTCAGTATCAATATGAAATATTCAGGAATCTTGATTTTTCATAACCAATATGTCGTTCAATTAATTGCAGATTATTAGCGTAAGATGGTATTTATGGGGAGCCAGGGGCAAACTAACGGGTAACTCTATAACAGATTGCAATATTAATGGAAAGAAAGAAAACGGAAATTGGACAATATGGTGTGTTTTGTTGCTTCATTCGACTCAAGTTGGAGTATTGTGGAGATACTTCAAATTATTTATCCCGGTTAATTTAACCTATGTTAAACATGAGGTGAGAAGCAAGAAAGAAAAGATTTGTTTGTACGTTTATTTGATATAATTTATACGTTAAACTTGTGATTTCTTTTCATCAGGTGAGAGAACTTTGCGTGCTACGCCTTATTCATGCATTCTGTGAAGCTGCACCAATGTTACTTCTACAGTTGTATCTATTGTCGATTGGAGTCAATAATGATTCAAATACTGACGTTGGAAAAACGAAGGAAACCGACAGTAGAGACGGTGATAAGTTAGCAAAATTAACTGCAGTGTCTGCTGGTCTATCTTTGTGGAGCGTGTGTTGGGCGGTCGCTAGTTTTAGCAAAGGTGCAGCACGTCTTCGTAATTTAGAACGTTTGGTATTGACATGGCTAGGTGTGCTGGCACAACTAGCATGGCGTTTAGGAACTGTAAGCGCTAGAGTAGGAGTATTGGTAGCTTATGCTTCACTCTACGGTGGACAGTGGTTATTAATTGTCATGGCTCTCCATTGGTTGTCAATGTTGATGTGGCTATTACTTACTCCGGATGGTCTTTTTCATGGTGGAGAGCATTTACCTATTTTAAGAAAAACGTCCTTAGCTTCTCTCCTTGCGTTTGTTTACATATTTGCATACGTAAATTTACACGAAACGAATCATCGTCAAAAGATGGTGAGTTGTTGATATATATTATTCCTTTAATCCTGATGTCTAAAATAAATGAAATCCATAGTGTACTCGATATATTTATATTGGCTGTCTTTTTTCCAGGTAATTTTTTACACGGTAATGTTTTTAGAAAATAGTCTGCTCATTGGTGTTTGGATAGTTGGTGTCAACAGAACAGATCTTCTCCCGCACCAGCCTCATCCAAACCCTGTAACTTTAGTACTTACATTATTAGCTTTATTTTTCGGTGGTATGTTTTTCATGGGACTTTATTATAGGTAATTATAAGTTTAATTCTGCCATTTTGCAAATATATATTATTTTAGTAATTATATTAGTGATTTGTCTTTATCGACTTTGCATGGAATCTTAGGTTTTTTCATGTACGGAGATTAAGGTACGAATCTGGCGGCAGAATGACAGCCTCAAATCTCACGGCGTTATCAAATCAGGTATCGTAGTAAATTAAAGTCAAATATTTAAAAGAAATATAACGAATGTTTCTTATAAAGGAATCATGTCTGCAGGACAATCTAGAAGAAAAGCAAATAGAATATACGGAAGATAAGAAGTTAAATATGAACATAGGAATGAGAAGAGTCAAATTGAGTAATGGCGGAATACCGGGAGTATTTAATTGCCGTTTTGCCAATCCAGCTGTAGTAAATCCGAATCGCAAGAAGAAAAAACCGACAACGTTCGTACCTCCGCCGCCACCGCAGTCTCAAACTGGAACTGTTACAACCTCAATGAATACAGTGACCGAGTCGAAACAGTGGCTTGGTGTAAATAGCAATTCACGTCAATTAATACCGTTTTGGAAGAAATCTGTAAATTCTGGCATACTACAGAATGATCATTCAAATGAAGAAAAAACTAGAACAGACGCTGCGACTGCTGGCTCTCTGAATGTGAATTTAATAAGAGAGAAACTCCAAGAAAAAAAACAACAGCAATTAAGAGAATTAAGAGCAATTCAGGAAGAGATAAAAGAAGGGAAATTATTTCCCCCGCCGTCAGCTTCAGCGTCCTCGTTTTCATCGTCGCCTGCGTCGAATCAACAACCACCACCTAATACAAAGTTGCACACTTCTCCTAGTTCTCCTTTATTCACGTCTGAACCATCGATGGGCGATCAGAGTGGAGGAGTAACCTTATCTTCGTGGCCACCAGTGAAAATGCACTGTCTTTTACCTCCTCCACCATCGTCCTCGTATTATCCAAACGTTCATCCTTCAAATTCATGGAGGACAACGCAAAGAGAAAGAGCGGATACTCCAGAAATTTTGCTTGCACCACGTTGTCTTCCTCATCATTATTCTCACTGGACGCCGTCTACTCATGTCAATCATCGGTAATTAAAAAACGAAACAGATTTCCCAAAAATTTTGTTCGTCAAAGTCAATGAATAAATTAAAAAATGTATTGATTGTTAAATACATTATAGCACGTTTTGTGTTTTAGTCAAAACGGTGGAGAGGAAAGTTCTAAAGGTGAGGGAGACGTAGAAGGTGAACTTAGCGATATGGAAGGTAGTCAGGTATCACTGCCTCGAAGCTATACTCTACCACGTGAATTTAAGTATCATCATCCAAATAGCACTGCCAGAGAGCGGGAACGACGTGTAGGAAATAATAAAGTTCCAGCTTCACGTTTTTATTTACCTTCTACTAATAGTTCTGATGGTATGTCCTGCTTAAATTTGTTGGAGTTAAATCTTATGAAATGCACATACATACACACATACTTATTTAACATCTTTCCAGGAGATGTAGATAGTGCGGACAATGAAGAAGAAACAGATTCTGAGGTACATTATCGTATGAAGAATAATCATGGGTGCAACAATCACAGCGAAACGCAGCAACAGCAGCAGCAACGGTTTGCATTTGAAGATAATAACAAAAACGAATTTTTAAATTCAGATTCTGCAGCGACTGTTATCATGTCTGGAAATTATTTAAATAATTCTCAAGGACTACTTCGACCAAGTCAATTATTTCGAAACAGGGTTAAACACGAAACGAAGCTTTGAAGCTTCTGTCATTATCGATGTAGTATTTTAGAAATTGTATAATAGCTAATTGAGGGTTTAAAACAAAAAGACTGTACATGAGATCTATTTTTATAAAATTACTCATTTCTTACACGCAAATTTTCTAACATTTTTTATAATGTTTAGGATTAACATTCCTAAGAGTTAAATACTAACCATAATATTTGTACATAAAATAGGGATGATGTAGACTTATTTTGATAATACTATTGCATTTGTTCCTTGTAAATAATGATTATTTTTACAATCCAGCTATATACGACTTAAAAAATTTTAATATTTTTTACGCAACATACAAATTCTTTTCTAATAAATTATTAATTCTCTTATTTGTATTTTGAATGAAAATACATATGTAATTTAAAATCCATATAGTATTAATTATTTTACATATACATTATTTTGGAGGGATAAATTATGTAAACAAATAAAATATTTGAACCTATTATATTTATTTTATATTAAAAAAATATATATTTAAATTTTACAATTATAAAATAGTGATTAAATTATTTCAGCCTCTTTTCTTGGTAAATAACGAATTAACAAATGATACTCTTCACTAATTATTATTAACTTATTAATGCTTGAGACACTGAATTTACAAATAATTACAGAAATATATAAATATCGAAAAATGATGTTTTTTGTACTATACATGGTATAAACAATTGTCTGTAACAAAATCATCAGAAAATACTTATATTCATATAAATACCTTGAACATATATATTGTGCATTAGTGTCAGTTTCTCAGAATCATTACATAAATTGATAATTTTAAATGTACAATAAAAATTAACGAAGAATTGTATACATACAATTAGTTAACAAATTAGTTAACAAAAATATATTATTTCAAATATTTTACGTTGCATTGTACGGTTTAAAGAATGATTTCGTTCTTAAAGTTCCTAGTTAGTTCTTTGTGCGGCAATACAATCGAATTTAATACGATTTTTTCTGCTGCCAAACGTACGCTGGTGCCTAAAATACAAATAATAAAAATACATATTCCTTTTTTTCTGTTTAAATAACTATTATAAATGAACTATTTACCAAGGATTGTTATAGAGGGATTCAATTTGCCGTTAGTGTTAAACAAAGGTAAATTTTCCATTTTAGCAAATGGTTTGTCAGGATTGGGATCACACGGTGTTCCTTCTATTCTTGCCCATTCTCCCACGTAACTACTTTTCCCAACTATACTGTGTAATACAATAGAATGAGCTTGAATATGAGCATTGGCTAATATAATTGATTCCCTTATTCTAACACCACGGGCAATGACAGCATTTGGACCTATGCTGACATTCGGACCTAGCTGCAAGTCAAGTATTGTTTTAAATTTGTGTTTAAATAATGTTTCTCTAAGAACAAAACAAATGTTTCTTCACCACTGCTGTTTCATGAACTGTAGCAGAAGGATGAATATAAATATCACCAATGATTTGACAAGGTCCATTAACTGCAGAAGCAAGACGGTCTGGATGTTTTGCTTTGTATAAATTCAAATAGTGACGATTGGCATATATAGCAGAACCTGCAGTCTTAACTTGTGACCACCACTTTAGAACAGGTAAAGCAAATAAACGACCAGTTCCAGCTAAACGCATTAATATATCTTGTTCCAATGATATATGAGCTGGATTTTTACTGTTACCATTGAATTGCCTACAAAGTAATGTTTAATTAAGGTTCTTGTATACGCATAACCATTCTAAGAAAACTTCTGGAACATCTTACATAAAGTTCTCCTGACTTTGACCTGCATAAAAGGCATCAGCCATAGTTTGAAAAATATCTAAAGAAGCAAGATAGATGCCACAATTAATTAAAGTTGAAACAAACGTCGATGGCTTCTCTACGTAGTGAGCAACTTTTCCTTCTTTATCAAGAACCATGCATCCAAAATTCAAAGATTGTTGTCTGGTTGCCTCTGTGGCCATGATAGTAAGCAATGCTTGCTTCTCTTTATGATACTCCACTATTTCTTGCAAAGAGAAATCAGCGCATACATCACCGTTCATCACAAAAAAATATGTAGGTCCACCAGAACGTATTTGATCACGAAAATGATACAAGCCACCAGCTGTTCCCAATGGAGTGAATTCTTGAAGATACCTAATGGTTATTTTATATATGCTTATCATTTCCTGTATAAATTGAGACAAATCGCTTGCAAGGTATGATCCAATTATTAATATTTCACTAAGATTGTCCACTTTAGAACATGCTTCAATATGGTGTTGTATTACTGGTAATCCAGCAACTGGGAACAATGGTTTTGGTATATCTAATGAAAGAGGCCTAAACCTAGTACCTAAAAAATATATTAGAAATACATTTAATTTACATGTTGTGATAGTCTATATTATTAGAGATATATAAAATTACATTTAAGGTTATATTTCTATGCTGCTTGTAACAAACATGTTGGAAACATTTATTTTATGCAAAATACAAACCTTTTGATGGACCTCCAATTAATATAACAGATTTTAATATCATCCTTAAAAATAATACAAAATTTCACTACAACTTAAATTTAAAACAATTCCCTTGCTACAGTGATAAAAAGTTGATGTGCTAATAGGTTTAGGAACCCTTCAAAATTTCCAGTTTATAAATTCCACTTCAATGAGTAGGATAAGATAAGAGTTAGAACTTCCTGACAATTAATACAGACTTGAGCAAACATCAAAATTTATATGATCATTAAATAAGCTTAAGTGATCATTTCAGTCTTGTTGAAAAATGAGAAACCAAATGTGTATTAAAAATTTTTGAGATATTTATGAAATGAAATTACATGAAAATATAATATATTTGCAAGATATAAGTAAATAAAGAAAGAAGTCATGATAGAAAGTAATGCTTCAAATCTGTTTTTTATTTACATTTATAAAAAATATATTATAAATTACAAAATAGAAATTCAACAATATAAAAAAAGATTATTACATTGTATACAAACTATAAAAACAACTGTATATATGACGTGCTTAAAGAACTACTTATACAACACCATCACTGACAAAAATAAAGTGGGATAATAGTTCGTTGAAAATTCATTATAAAACCACCAACATGAGTGCTATTATACAAAAATATATGACTATATATCACTTGTATCTTTAATTAAGATAGGATACTTTATGGATATACTATCGATTCAACATGTAACTGGTGGTTATCTGCAGATCTCTTATAAAACTTTGCATTACATATTAGGCAATACCCAATTCAAGAACTTTATAGCAACTTCAAATCCAAGAAAGCATGCTGCGTTTGCTGGAAACGCGCGAAGCATCACCGGTACACATCCTTTATACAATGCCCTTGGCCCCTCTTCTTTCATCAGGATTACAAAGACATCGCGAATCCCGTTTTTGAATGTGCCATCTGGAGCTAAATAAAATAAATAAAATTTTAATATTCGATATTTGCTTCGATAATAACTTCTTAAGTCAACGAGATATTACTCGTGAACATTACTTGATATTTAATAATAAATTATAATAACACGTACCACTTTGTAAACGACTTTTCAATACATCAGGTGGCATTCCAACAATCCAGTTTGCTATACCAGCGAAACCACCAGCAATAATTGTTTGTAATATTCCTACTTTGTTACCTTCGGGGGTCATCCACTTTTTTAAGCATTCATACGTCATAAAATACATCCCACTAGCAGGAACATCTAAATATCAGATACAAAAAATGATTAACAAGATGTAGAAATATATCTGTGAGAATTTAAAAATTCAAACGGTATTTGTATGGACGTATGTAAAAGCTGAAAAATGATCAAGTTTCTACCTGAATGTAACATAATTGAAACATTGGAAACGTTATTTATTTACAACATGTGGAAACGTTATTTATAATTGTAAGGCAAGAATAGTGTGTGTAGGTTGCTAGATAGGAAACATCCTGTCTGATAGAGCGCATCAAGGCAGATAGATAACAATTAACAAAATTCAGTTTCCTTCAAACCAGCGTACCATCATTGGTTTTAAGATCTGCTTTTCTTCAATACCAATTATAATGATTATTCTAATACTTGTTTTCACTCTGCTGGTACATAATTATTCTCTTTCTTTATTTAAAACGAGGAAGTTTAAGAGAAAAGGATTATTCCTTTCGTAATATTCTCTTTGAGTTTGATAATTTCTCGCTCTGTGACACAGAGATTCTTCAAAAGACACTGATTTACCGTGTAAATTCGACCAAACGATAAATTAATAAACAAACGTATGTTTAGAACGAGTGCTTGGGGCAAATAGTTGATATCGGCTACGTTTGGGAAGTAAAATGTCCACCAGGCTGTTCGTGCGAAGTACAGAAATTGGCTGATCTACCTTTACATCGATGGATCAAAACAAGCCAAGATCAGGTATGAGAATCAACTGTCCTTCTTTTTTAAAATTCAATAAAATTCTTCTCTCGACAGAACTTGACTAACGACGCCAATTACGAACTTGGATTGAACACAGATCACTCTATAATACCCGAGTTTTTGAACGTAGCAATTTGCGTTATCGCTGAAGATTATGAAGAACTTTTGGACAAACTTCCGTCGGACATTCAGGTTGATGTTACAAAATACTGAATGGCACGATTCTTCGCTCTGCTCGAAAATAATATATGCATCCTTGTGTCTTAGGTGTTTACAATCCTTGAATCTGGCATTGGAGACTATGAGATTCTCCTGCAATCTACAACATTCCAACGTTTTACAGATTTAATATCTTTAGACATTCAGGGCATCGATTACGAATCTGTGAAGAGAAACTCGGACATTGCACAAAGAAAACAAGGTGGAATCATTTTATCTGTCGATTCGTTGTATCCATTAGGATTAAACCTCCTCTATTTAAACCTGGAACGAGTCAGATTAACGAGCCTGAGTCCAACGAGAAAGAACAAAGCCAATCTTGTGATTAAACCGATGAACACGGTTGCTGATGACGGGAACAGTAATAAACAACTATTAAATAACATCACTCAGAGTACAGGGCATAGATTGATATTTCTCAGTCAACAAAATAATGGACAAAGCGACGACAAAGAAATACTTCCTTACGACGTGTACAAACAAGAAATGGAAGGTTATAGAGAAACTGTTGGACTTTTCACTGGTCTAGGAGCTTTAACTCACTTAAGAGTTTATGACTGTGATTTGAAAGACATATCGTGGCACATGTTCGATGGCTTGAATAATCTTATTCAGCTTTCATTAGAGAAGAATAGTTTGAAATTCATTCCAGAATTTTGCTTTTACGGCACTCCAAATCTAAAAGTACTGTCACTGGCAAGTAACCAGTTGTTAACACTCAAGAGTGTAGATCTAGCTGGCTTGCTGATGCTAGAAGATCTTGATTTGAGGGGGAACAATCTAACTTTTTTGTCGGAATTATCTTTCCCCCCATTCCCAATGCTGAAGACTGCGGATTTTCAGGAAAATCCTTTGGATTCCATATTCCCAAGGTACTGTAATACATGTATACATATTTCTAGCATATATAACAGTTATAATAAGATGTGAAATTAACATGAATATTTTCTGATTTTCAGTACCTTTGAAATCATGAATACAACATTAAAACTTTACTTGGGAGGCGAAGGCTCAAAATTATATTTACAAAAGAATTCTTTTCTGGGACTGTGTCGACTTCAAACCTTGCATTTGTATAATTTAGAAATACCAGTGTTGGAACGTTTTGTATTTCAAGGAATGCCTGAACTATTAAAGTTAAGAGCACGTGGAAATATTTCGAGCATCGACTTCGATGCGTTTGTAGACTTAATCAAACTGGTAGATCTTGATTTAAGTTACTGTCACATTCGTAAAATATCCATGGACGCATTCTATGGTCTGGAAAATGTTAAACGCATAGATTTATCAAACAACGAGTTAGAATTCATTCCACCTGGCTTGTTTGGGGTGCAACAACAGACACAACTTAAAGAAATTATCCTTTCAAAGAACAAGCTGACATCACTACCTACAGATTTTTTCAAAATGCTTCGGATTCCAAATAAACTATCAAAATTTTCAATCGTAAGACTAGATAGCAATCCATGGGATTGTACTTGTTCAATGATTACATGGAATCCTCATTTGGTAAGTACGAAGAAGCCATCGTTTGAAGCTATTTTTAAATAATAAAAAATAATTGTAATATAATTGGAAAAAACAGGTAAACAGATTAAGAGAAACAGCACCACGATGCACAACTCCCAAGAAACTAAGGAACTGGGGAGTTTTTCACGCATTGCGCAAAGGTTTGCAGTGTAAAACCTTAAAGAGAAAGTACTTGAACAAGTCTACAATGGAAAGAAACAATTATGAAGAGAATATCATCAGTTAGCCAACACATGTTCTTAATTTACAATTAATGCACGTGTATAGAAACAAGAAACAAAATTAGACAGTTTAATTTTCAATTTCTGTAAGGTAACTTTGACTTTCAAATGTATCATTTTGAATTGTATGATAAATAGTAGAATAGCAGTTGATAATTCTACAGTGTCTATGTTCGAATTATAAAAAATAAAATAAAACAGCGAATAATATCACATACCTCTCAGAAGAGTAGCACAGGTACCTTTATAAATATTTCTAATTCCTCCGTTCTTATAAAGTTGCTTCGCACAGTCGATAGGGCCTTTATATTTGGGCTTTGCATCGCCCTGTTGTATTTGCAAAAGACACTTTATTCTTTCACCAGGTGTCATTATAATAGTTGTAAAGATGCCACTAAATGCACCAGCATAAAATAGTTGCAAAGGAGATAATTCCTCATTGTCAGACGTTCTTACTAACTGCTTGCCAAGTCCAAATCCATAAAAGCTTATGGCAAATACTGGAGCTACGCCGCATAAAGGGGCACCCATACCTATAAAAAAAAAAAGTGGAAATATTATATATGATCTATGAAATGATGTTTTAACAAGAAAAAAGAATCTACAAGAGATATTTATGGATATTTAAAGTACGTACTATCTACCAACCCTTATATAATCCACGCACTCCTTCCTTTGTGATTGTTTTCCTAGCACAATCAATTGTTCCATTATATAACACTGTTCCATTCGGACCTGGTACAGGCATGGTTTGAAGACGGACCTATTAAAGATAATGCGTTCTTCAAACATTTGTTTTAGCACAAGGTATTATGAAAAATTTAAAAAAAAGGAAAGATAAGTTAACAAAAATTTCTGATAAATGGAAAGAAAGTACAGAAACTTCATTGATTACTTATTCTTGCTACAACATATTTGAACTGTATATGTCATTTTTACTTTAATTATTTATCATTGCAATAAAAAAAAAATTATAATTCAATATTTTTGTCAGTACTCACAGTAAATGTAAGAATACTCTATGTAATAAACACAATGAATCATAAGCAATGATGAAAAAATTTCAAAGAACAAAAATGCAAGAGATGAAAGAGGACAACAAAAAACATAAGCTTTCCAACAAAAAATTATGGACAAAATCTAATCTGCGCGCACAGTGCAACATTGTTTCTTTTACCTAACATTGTCCATTAATAGGGCCAGTCCTCTTCACAGAGAAAAACAGCAGGACTTCATAATCCTACTTATAATTAGATAAGGTACAGCTGAAAAATTGGGGGATTATCTTTTACACACATTCAGTTGTACAGAAGCATTTATTCTACCCCTGATTTTTTCTTTTCTTTTCTCTTATTGCATGAAGAACTTCTACATTTTATCACCTTTTTAAAAAAAAAAACATTAGCAAATCAAGAAAAACCACCTAGTTGAAAGTTTAATCTATCAAATCGTGAAACTGCTGCACTTCAACAAATGGAAAATAGACTTCTGTCGATAAATGCTAGAATCTTACTTGTAAATGTACTCAGTACATGCACTGTTCATCTTCATTACTCCATGAAGACTCACGACAAGAACCATGATGCATTAATCGTATCCAATTATCAAAACATGTCTTTTAGTGAATTTTAGATCTCATCAATTAATAAAATATGTCATTCCACGTTAATTTTTCTATCAATCGGTGTAACCTTACTTTTATTGTGTCTAGGGGGTGACCCACCACGATGGTGCATATCCCTCCAAATCCTCCGCTCAGGAAGTATTTGACAAGGCTTATTTCCTTCTCAGACATTTCAGTAACAAGCTTTAATCAAGCGTGGAGGTCAGTCTTCTAAAACGACCTAAAAACTATCAGGTTCGATCACAAACCTTGTTCAGTGTAAAGTCAGAACGTTATCACACGCTGGCCATGAAAATTCGTCAATTACCACTGAACGAGCAACGATTATGTTTATAGCAATGGCTATACTCATTAAAGTGACTATTGACTTTTATTTTCGACCAAATGGCGAACTTCTTTTTCTACATAATTACTAACTTTTACATAATTAAACAACAATTTCAGAAATAATATAGTTCAGTTTGTACGTGTGTTTAATAAATTTTATATATGCCGCCAGTGGTAAGTACAATGTGAGATATTTCAACCATCTGAAATTCCAATTTTTCTATGAATTAAATACATGTGCAGTGTAAAATTTTCCATTAGTTTTCCGATCTTTGGATTTTGTGACAAATGGTTCAGCATGGTCTGTTAAATGCCCATGTAGTGGTATCTTTGAAGTAATAAGTGTCAGAGCCATATGTAAATAATATCAGGTGATTGAGACTCAGAATCAGAATTCGTCTGGTTTATTACATTTACGATTTTTTTTCTTTTTTTTTATAATTATTTCACGTACCATGTTGATGCCTCTCAATTTTATAATTACTTTATTCTATTGACATTTTGGTGATGGTGATTCAATTTTATGCATTCCATTTTGACCTTGCATCAAATGTTAAAAAGTCTCTTGAATTTGTGTATAATTTGAATAAGTATCAGTAAAATACTTTAACTTCATTAATTCTGTACAAATTAAGGTATCGTTGAGAAGTTCTTGTCTTTGTAAGAATTTACATCTAGTCTAATTCGATTGTCACATCTACTTTGTTCTTGATCAATAATATTTATTGTGTATTGTAGAACAATTATGTCTGAGAAAACTTCATCAAATCAACCACAGCCAATTGTTAAAATTGGTCACTATACACTAGGACAAACATTAGGTGTCGGTACATTTGGTAAAGTAAAAAGTATGTAAATCTTCTTTGAATAAGCCTTCATTACTTTTTTATATAAAGTCATACTGTGACATATTTGTTATATATATAATTGTTTTATATAAATTTTCATAGTTGGAGAACATGTTTTAACAAAACATAAGGTTGCTGTGAAAATTTTGAATCGTCAAAAGATTAAAAGTTTGGACGTTGTTGGGAAGATTAGAAGGGAGATACAAAATCTGAAACTTTTCAGACATCCTCACATTATTAAATTGTAAGTAATAGCAATGTACTTTATGAAATATTGGTTAATAAAGAGTGTAAATTTTTTTGTTAATATTTTCTAAATTATTGCTTTGATTCAGATATCAGGTTATAAGTTCGCCCACTGATATATTTATGATAATGGAATATGTATCTGGTGGAGAATTGTTTGACTATATTGTGAAGCATGGCAAACTAAAAGAATACGAGGCGCGAAGATTCTTCCAACAGATTATTTCTGGCGTTGATTATTGTCACAGGCATATGATAGTTCATCGCGACTTAAAACCAGAAAATCTATTGTTAGATCATAATCTACATGTAAAAATAGCAGATTTTGGTATTTGGATATAGTTAGAATTTTATTGACAAAAATAAAATATCTGTTGTCTGATTCATTAAGTTATTGAAATAATTTGATAATTTACTAATTATAGGCTTGTCGAACATGATGATGGATGGAGAATTTTTACGTACTTCTTGCGGTTCCCCTAATTACGCAGCGCCAGAAGTAATTTCTGGTAAATTATATGCTGGCCCTGAAGTTGATATCTGGTCTTGTGGGATAATACTGTATGCTTTACTTTGTGGTACTTTACCATTTGATGATGAACATGTACCAACACTTTTTCGTAAAATTAAGTGTAAGTAATAACAACCTATGTCTTTTGACTTTAATAGTAAAAACTTTTAAATATTTGTTTTAGCTGGAGTTTTCCCCATTCCAGAATACCTGAATAAAACTGTTGTAAGTCTTTTATGTCACATGTTGCAAGTGGATCCTATGAAAAGGACAACGATTGAAGATATTAAGTACATTCATTTCTTTTTATTATACGCACTTTATTTTATGCACAATTTACTCTCAAAATTACTCTCAGATGTTCAAACGTTGGAAATAGATGAAAAAATGTTTGATTTAGGAAACACGAATGGTTCCAAAAGGATTTACCTTCGTACTTGTTCCCATCACCTGTTGAGCAAGACGCCTCTGTAATTGATATAGACGCAGTAAACGAAGTTTGCGAAAAATTCAATGTAAAAGAAGCAGAAGTTCATTCAGCGCTGTTGGGTGGAGATCCTCACGATCAGCTGGCAATTGCTTATCACTTGATTATAGACAATAAGAGAATAGCAGACGAGGCTGCTAAGGCAGAATTAAAAGATTTCTATGTGGCTTCTAGTCCACCTCCTGTTGCTTTTAGTCCTAACGATACCAGTAGCAGCCCTTTAAGACCACATCCAGAAAGAATAGCACGTAAGAAGATGAACCAGCACTTTATCTTTAGAACTTAAAAAAAATAACTCTTTACATCGTCGTATGAAATTTACGAAAACGATATTTAATACATACTTTGTTCGTTTCAGCATTACGAGAAAGACAAAGTTCTCAAGGAAGCACGTCATCCTCGATACAAGGACCTCGTGGCACGCCAGTAAAACGGGCTAAGTGGCATCTAGGTATTCGTTCGCAATCCAAACCGAACGACATTATGAACGAAGTCTATCGAGCTATGAAAGCTCTCAATTTCGTAAGATCTTTCTCTAAATTAACTACGTGTAAAATAAGAAATTTAATGTTTAAAAACAGTTGTATCTTTAGGAATGGAAAATCATAAACGCTTACAGCGTTAGAGTGCGTCAAAAGAACAAGCTGACAGACAGATACAGCAAGATGTCGTTACAACTTTACCAAGTTGATTACAAAAGTTATCTGTTAGATTTCAAATCCTTATCAAACGAGGAAGAAGACATTGGGCGAGGTAAACAACCTACCGTCGCTGTTGATGATTATCGATCAATAATGTAAGCGTTATTTTAGATCCCACACTCCCGCCACCTCAGGCAACAGGTCATCACACTATGGAATTCTTTGAAATGTGCGCAGCATTGATTACGCAGTTGGCTCGATAGATTGCTAGAATGTCAGAATATCCGAGTTTAACTACGTTTAACAATGCGTTTTATTCTCCTTCCGTTGTGTACCAATGCAAATTCATAGGATAAAGGGAACTTTCTTAGAAGGAAAGTAACATCAGTTTTGCAAAAAGATTGAGTGCACGGAAGGGAAGAGTACAATAAATCCGTAGAAAATCAAGTAATCCTTCTTTAAACCTAGCCTATTTTAAATATTTTATCAAAAGGAAATCAAAGAAATGTATCAGTATCTGTACATATGTTGATAAATTGAAAGAACTAAAATATACACACATATATATATATTTTAAATGGTAGATTTTTAGTTCCTCCACCGAGACGACAGGCAGCGCTAGAAACGAGTTTCCTAAGATTCTCGAAAGTTTCCTCTCTGTCCGTTGTACGCATGCAAAATCCAAGAAACTTGGATTAATCATTATCGCCTCTGTTTTTATGTCATAGATTTAAGTGGAGTAATGCTATCGGCCGCATTAACGAGAGTGAAAATTCGACCAAATATTTAAGCGAGTTAGAGATATCGTTGAAAGGGGGGGTCTTGCAAGCATTCGCGCAGTCTCTGTAGAACAAATCGGGCGAAAAAGTGCCACGATATTCGACGTGAGGTGAAGCCTAAGAGCACGAGAACAGAAGAAGCAAAGACAGTTTTTACTTCAAACATGCTTGCAGTTGTCGAAATAGATACGCAGCTTCGCACGAGACTCTTTGACGAGTGATTTCTCCATTTCTCAGAGTCGATCGACGGTGATCGAGAACGAAAGGTTCTTAAACGATATTACTATGATATATTGTGTATACGTTATATACGTATTGGAAGGATGATCTAAAAAGAATGTTTCTTTCGATATAAAGAACCTATGTTGTTTGTACATTAATTAAGCGGACGATGTTCGAAACACACTGAGAACGGTGATCTTATATCGCAGGATTCTCGGAGTGAGGGTGAGAGGGAGGACTTGGGAACTTGTACTCCGGGAGACTTGTACTCCGAGGGGCCTCCGTCTCGGACAAGGGCGCTCCTCGCTGCGCCATCGAGCCCCTGTTGCTGGAATTAATTCCGATCACTCTTGCTAAAACAATGGCTGCTACTTTCGATCAATATGACAAGTCCAGGTAAATGGGCAAGCAATTTTAGTCGTGTTATGTCCGACATCACGGAACCAATTATCGTTGTCCGATAAAGTAACAAACATAATGATATCCCTTTGGAGTTTTGTCTCGCTGACGCTGAAGAGACTCGCGTTAACCTCTAGAATTTACGTTGCAACTGTGTTTGAAAGTAACAGCAAAATATAAAAAAATAATAGTAAGAGTAATATTCTTATCCTTGTAAATTTGATACGTACGGAGTCTTAAGCTTGAATTTCTTTCTTTTTTTTTTTTTTTGGATTAGTTATCTTACTGTTGTGTTTTTCCCCCTTAGTTGGTATTTTGGTGCAATGTCACGACAAGATGCCTCGGATTTACTCATGGGTGAGAAAGAAGGCGGTGTGTTCTTAGTACGTGACAGCACATCAATACATGGGGATTTTGTTCTATGCGTGCGAGAGGACAGCAAGGTTAGCCATTATATTATAAATAAAATTCAGCAGGGTGATCAAATACGTTATCGGATTGGAGATCAAACGTTTCCTGATATTCCCAACCTTTTGGCTTTTTACAAATTACATTATTTGGACACAACGCCACTGATCAGGCCTGCACCTAAAAAGACACAGAGGGTAATAGCAAAATATGATTTTGAAGGCAATGACCCTGATGACTTACCTTTCAGGAAAGGTTCGTACAGTTTGATTCTTTATTTCAAATTTGAGCAACAGTGTCTCTCATATTTTAGTTACTGACTGCAATTAATAATTTAATCACGCTCTGCAGTGTTTAAGTTTTGCAAGTTTTTATATTTTGTACAAAATTTGTGATGTTTTCAGGAGAAATTCTTACAATTATATCAAAAGATGAAGAACAATGGTGGACTGCTAGAAACAGCCTTGGTCAGACTGGTTCAGTTCCAGTTCCATACGTTCAGAAGTACGAAGAAGACAGTCACTCTGTGATTGAAAATAACTCACGATTGGAAAGCGGAGGAAGTTCAACTACAAATTCTAATTCGATTTCTGCTTCCCAAATGTCCTATCCAGAAAGTGGACAGGGGACTACCCGCAGATCAAACATCCAGCGAACATTGCCCGCGTTTGCGAAAGTGAAACAAGCAAGGGTACCAAATGCATATGATAAAACTGCTTTGAAATTGGAGGTTGGAGATGTGATAAAAGTAACAAAGACTAATATAAATGGTCAGTGGGAAGGTGAATTGCACGGCAAAGTTGGGCACTTTCCATTCACGCATGTTGAGTTTGTAGATAACGAGACCGGAGAAGACAATCAGGAGATTTAATATTTTATAAGTCTTCCAGATGTGATGAGTAAAAAGTTGATTTAAAATGTTTTATGTTGGCAATTTAAGTTTATATCAGCAGCTATGTCTGTGTACTGGTACCTTGAAATCAGCCTATTTTAAAATTTTGCATACATTCTTTAACTTAGAATGTCAGACGTTTTTATTAATTGTTAATCATACAATAATGCAAAATTCATATGAATATTTTTTTACAAATCGTTTAACTTTTCTAGTCACAAGGTAAGAAATAATCATGCATGCATAGTCATATGTGTATGATGAGAGTTACAAAAAGACTCATTTCTGTTTTAAGCTTTGTACCAGTACATATTATGCTGCTTAGCCATAAGTTGTGCCACAGATGGAGCAACATTTTCTACTAGAATATTCTATTTAATGATGGAGCTGTTAACCATATTACAATTGTAATTATACATAAATTACACTAATTATATATTACTATGTAATTATATAAGTTCCGATTGCTAAGTAACTCTTTTTAAGAGAGCAGAAACTGTGAATTTATGTTTATAAGTGAATGGTATTATATTGTCATGATTGTAAGTTACGCAGTTTACTTGTTAATATGTAATTATACAAATTGCAAGGACATTTAATTTTGTAAAAATTAGCAACTTTGAAGTTCCGCTCTGTGCTATACATATTAATTTTATTGTAACTACAGTCATGCATGAGTTATTGTAAATTATATATTATCAATATATATATATATATATATATATATATATATATATATTAATTTCAATTGAAATATTTCGTGAATTTTTTTAAGAATAATAATTTGGAAGATTTTTTCTGTTCGACTTTAGAAACTAGCGTAGAAATATAGTTACGTATGTATAAATATATTTTAATATATATTACACAATTATATTTGTAAAAATTGTAATTTTATCGTAAATTTCAAACAATCATTTTCTAATATTTTTATATGAGAAAAAAAACTGGCAACTTTGGAGTTCTGCTCACTATGAATGCGTATTAATCATGTTTCGATATAATTATGTGTAAGCTGTATGTACGTTATGTATAGTTGTGTGAGAACAGAATTGTAATTTTCTGCATTTCTGGAGAGACAGTTGTAATTGTTTCTTTTCTATGATTCCAAAAAGGTACTTCCATCTTGAATCTTTAATAATGAAGATCATAAGATATTACATAAATTGTATAATTTGTACACAACTTTATCTTTATGATTACGTCGTATTTTCTAAAAAAAAAAAGAGAAAAAGAAAAAAGAAAATAACTCTAAAACCGAGTTACATACAAAAGAAATTTTATTTACATACAAAATGCTTGATATTAATAGTTAAATTCAATTATCTTTGTAAAACATTTTTAGAAAATCGATTGCGATTGTACATGAATTGTGCAAGTGATTTCTACAGTATATATTTACAAAATTAGTTCCAGAGTTTGAAGTGTGATCAATTTATCAGTTCCTAAATAATTATAGTTAACTTTCAAATTGGTCCTACTTTTGTTTCTTGTACAATTCATTAAAATTCACATAAACGATATTATTTCAAATTGTCAGTAATGTACTGTAAAAGGGAAGAGTACATTTCAACTAACATTATCGACAGATTTGAACAACAAAGCGGAATTAAAGTTGCAAAAGCAAACTTGTTCATATAATTGCGTGCATATTAATAAAGTATTAAGACAGTGCAAATTTTTATATATAAATTTGTAACACTTTTATATAATTTATATCTTAATTTTTAAAACATGTAGAAACTAAGAGTACAATAAATGAAAAATTAAGGTAAATGTTTTTATAAACATAATAAATATATATATATATATATACATAGACGATTTAATTTAGTTAATTTATTTTTATAATTCTACTATAAATAATCGACAGTTATTTATATATATACCTTTTCAATTTAATATTATTTAAAGTTAAGAACTTACAAAATAAAATTTAAATAGAAATAATGATCATTTTTTTTTTAATTTAACGATAGATTTTGGAACGGTGAACTTCTTGATTGGTTCATTTATCGATCTTTGTAGCTGGAAATTACCAATGAAAATGCATCTAGGTACGCATATACAGAGTGTCTTAGATATCAACAAATTTTGGCAGCACGTCTGGCAGATTATTTTAACCCAAAAATGTTACATGTCACCCTATAGCAGCTCGATGTGTCCTCGTCTTCGAAATGTGAAAAGAAATGTAGCATAAGCCATAAGTAATTAGATATACTGAAACTACTTAATTTTCGACGATTATCATTTATTTTAAATTACTTTTTTTTTACAGTGATTGATATTGGTTTCTACAAATTACTCAAAATGGTCACCTTCCACCTCACACGCAAGTAAATATGCTCTCATGCATCTACTGCATATTAGCAAAGTCGTTATTAATGGTACCAGCAACCTCTGATTTCCTCGACAATCGTGAAAAGTTAAGTGACTACTTCTAACTTATATCACTTTTTTCATGAGAAAGTAGACGTCAAGAGCCATGGTGTACACGTATGTAACGATTTTCCCACCCAAACGTACGTTGACAAATTTTGACGGTTAAGATCCGGGACACCCTATATAATTTGCTACGAGTACCATCTGTCCTTCCGCCATGTATATATATATCCATGAACTGTTCCCGCCAAATTTCTCAGTTCAGTAACTGCCAAAGAATGAGTGATAGTCGCTGCTAATGTGATTTACTTGCACTTTTGTTAAGACAGATAACACAGATAAATTGCATTTCTTAATTGCACATTCGTTGATCGACGCAAGAAACAGACGCAAGTACAACTTTACATAGTACGACTTTTTCTTTGGAAGTTTTTAACTCAACAAACATACCAAAATGTACGTTAAAGTAAGAACAATGGATGGCAAACGGGAGATGTTGTTAACCGTTTCAAGAACAATGGAAGTGGAAGATTTCAAGGTAAAACGAACGAAAAATGCTATTTTCAAATAGAGAAGCAATTTCTCAGTATTTTTCTTTTCTTATGAAATTTATAATTTCATACCTAATGTCTCTCTACTGCATTTTATGGCAGAGCTTTCAGAGCAGAAGTTCGTTGAATTTATTAAATACTCCATGTTTGTTAAAGATGTTCGTTTAAATGTTGCTACAATGCTTATTAAATTGCTATATTTTTGTCTGCTTAAAGGAACCTCCTCTGAGATAAAACATTTGCATTGGATTATATTTATATAAATGTAAATATAACAATATTTCATAAAAACTCTAATTCACAAAAATATTGTTTTACAGCGTATGATTGAAGAGAAGATGGATGTAAAAGTGGATCTACAACGATTATTCTATCGTGGAAAACAATTAGAAAATGATTATACATTACATGACTATAATATCAATATAAATGACGTGATTCAATTAATGATAAAGATACAAATTAGCGGATTAGAACCTACCTCCAGTAGCAGTGTTACTACTATTCCTAGTTTAAATTCTGAAAAAGAAATTGTAGATGATAATGGAGAGAAATTACTTGAAACACTTACTGAAAGCTTGTATTATAAAACTGGTGATGTAGTAGATTGCCTTAATCAAGTTTATGGAGCTTGGTTTGAGGCAATAATATCAAAGATTTTTAAAAAAGATGATAAAATTATTTATAATATGCAGTGGGAATTTGATGATAAAGCTCCACCTTTCAATGTATCTGAGTCATTAATAAGACCACGTGCAAGACATTTGTTACAACTTGACAGTTTAGAAGTAGGTCAAAAAGTGATGATTAATCATAATGTTGATAATCCTAAAGAAATTGGTTTTTGGTACGATTTTACAATATCGAATATAATTAAAAACAGGAAAATACAACTGATTGGGATATTACATATTGGACTGTAAGTATTATGCAGATACTTCGTTCAAGTTAGCACATTATACAGTTGAAATGTGTAATATGTAATTTGACAGAGATCAATCAATCAACAATTTGAAAGTGATACCTGGGGATGATATTTTTGCCATAGAAGAACCAAAATTTCTTAAAGACAGAACTGAAGATGAACAATACATGGTCAGTAAACGAAGACGTGTACAAGCTAATTGTGATGCATGTTTCGACAATCCTAACAAGAAATGCAGAGAATGTGGTTGTAGAATTTGTGCTGGGAAAGAAGATGAACATAAGCTTCTTTTATGTGATGAGTGTGACTCTGCATATCATATAGGCTGTTTGAATCCCCCGTTAACATCCATACCTGAAGAAGATTACTGGTATTGTTCGGAATGTAAAAATGATGAAAATGAAATTGTGAAGGTTAATTATCATATAATAAAATTTTATTTCGTAACATTTATAAAATTTATAAATTATAATTTTTTAAAGGCAGGTGATAAACTTAAAAAAACGAAAAAGAAAACATATGAAAATAGTAATCGTAGAAAAAGAAATTGGGATAGAGGAATGGCATGTGTAGGAATATCAAAACACTGCACTATAGTTTCAATCTATCATGTCGGACCTATTCCAGGAGTAGAAGTTGGAACGAGCTGGTTATATAGAATACAGGTAATTGAAATTCTTAAATAATCATCAATTATACTAACTTTGCATGTTTGTAAAAATTAAATTGATATTTGGAAAAATTAAATTGTATATGGTAGGTATCTGAAGCTGGAGTACATAGACCACCCATAGCTGGAATTCATGGAAAATCAACACAGTGTGCATTTTCTATTGTATTGGCTGGAGGGTACGAGGATGACATTGACAACGGCGATGAATTTATTTATAGTGGCTCCGGAGGCAGAGATCTATCAGGTACAATATTTGAGTACACAGAAATTTATATCTGAATTAATACGTCCTATTTATAAAGGAAACAAAAGAACAGGACGACAAACTTGTGATCAGACATTAACTAATATGAACAAAGCATTGGCTTTAAATTGCAATGCAAAATTCAATCCGAGAGTCGGCGCCACAGCGGAATATTGGAAAGATGGTATACCTGTAAGAGTTGTGAGAACCCACAGGCTTGCTAAATTCAGCAAATATGCACCAGAACAAGGCAACAGGTATTAATAATATTTTTTACTTTTATACTTACTAGTACATAGTTTTGATAAAAAATTTTTTTATTTTAGATATGACGGTATATACAAGGTGGTAAAGTATTATCCAGAAATAGGTAAAAGCGGATTCCGTGTATGGAAATTTTTATTAAGAAGAGATGATCCAGTACCTGCACCATGGACTAAAGCGGGTAAAGCACGAATAAAAGCACTCGGTTTGAAATTCATATATCCAGATGGATATTTAGAAGCAAAGGCAAAAAATGAAGCAAATGAAAATGAAATAAATGAAATAAGTAAAAAACGAAAATTACATATGAAAGAATCTGTTACTTCAAATGAAGAGAAACAACAGAAGAAGAGACAAAAATTCGAGGGTTATAAATTAGAAAGTGAAATAGCAGAATATATCGAGCAAGATCGGGCAAATGTAAAATTATGGGATGAATGTCGTAAAGCCTTACAAGATGGTAAACCTGCATTTTTGCAATATGTTTTAGAAAGGTACGTTATGACTTATCAAATTAATAGATATTAGTGGATTTTCAAATTTTAATAAATTTTCAATTACAGATTCACATGTCCCTGTTGTTTGGAACTCGTTTACAAACCTGTCACGACTCCATGCGCACATAATATTTGTCTTAATTGTTTGAAACGTAGTTTTTTAACGGGTAGGCGATGTTGCCTGTCATGTCGTTATTTCTTTAATGAAAATTATAAAATGATAGTTAATACATTTTTATCATCTGCTTTATCATTACTTTATCCAGGTTATAAAGGTGGCAGATAACTTCAATTTTGACAAAATAATACTTACATTTCTGAAATAAATTCTCACATGCCAATTCAAATTGCATTAAATAATAAATCTGGTTACAATTTGTGCTTCAGTAATGAAGTAATGTTTGGTATAATACATAGTTATAAGACGAGCAACATATCGTGCTCATTTTTATTTATATAAAAAATTTGTTAGTATCATTTTACAATAATAATTTTATTATAATATATTTGCAGTCATAAAATGACTAGTAATAATTAAATAACAATAATTATTATTGTAATAGTTATTATTATGTTAAGTTTTGATTTATGTAATTTCAAATTTTATATCTACAGGGTGGACCATTTAAATGGGATTATTTTTTTTTATTGTTATTTTTAGGGACGTAAATAAACTTTGTTAATAAAAATCATTCAGTACTGAGGGGACTATGGCAGTAATGACTTTTTGTAGAGGTTTCGAAGGCCTTTCTCGTTTTTCATATAGATCAAAATCTTACAAAATCACTACTGCCGTTATTATTATGGTGCCTTTAATATTGAATAACTTTTATTTTTTTATAGTTTATTCATGTTTTTAAAAACAACGGAGTTAAGTAGTCCCATTTTAAATTACTTAGATAGACCTCATTTAAGTGGTCCACCTTGTATATGTAATGCAAGGTTTATATATTGACTACAAACTATATATGTTTGCTCATTTATTTGTGTATGTGTGATGTGCTTCAATTTAAACCAATTGTACGTGGTTCTAATTTGCATTTTAATCAATCTGTACTGCTCTTTTTTAGTTAGCATAACATAATTTTCCACAATAAATGATATGAATCATGTTATTTTACAACGAGGTAAATAAATGTTTTTTATTACAATTGATATGATCTTATTAATTACACACTGAAAAGAAAGTTATTTTATTGATCTCTTTGATCGATAGATGGAACTATTTCACTTATCCATTGGAGATATTTGTCACTTCCATTTTGAATCTAAAATAAAATATTGTTCAACTTCCACCATACATTAAACTGGAATATACAATACTCTGTACATTAAAATATAATTGAATAATGCTTACAGGTAATGAGATCACCTCACAGACTTCGTATGGATGATTCTCCCTGTTCAAAATCAGTGCAATTAATTTTGAACATATACGTATAATTTAAAAACATCAGAATATGTATGTACTTACATTACGTATTTTGTTAATGTGTCCACAGTATCAGTTCTAGTTTTTATCATCTAAAAAATAAATAATACATATCAATAATTTAAACTTACTACCATTATATTTTACATATTACATCTTACCAATAGAAGTTCGCTATCTTCATTGATTTCATTTTTCCACTCGTACCTGTAATAATGTGCAAATAATGTTATCCCACTTTGAGGTATATACTCTATAGCGTGTATATGTATATATTATTATACTTACACTGACGTAAGCCCCGGTATAATATTAACGCAAGCAGCTAATTTATTTTTCACCAAGCCACTATAAATTAAATGAAACAATCTGTAATTATTTTTTCAGGGAGTTAATTTCCAATAGATTACAATCCTTACTGAGCCAATTTTTTAGCAACTTCCTGCGTCGGAACCGTTACGTATGCAACGGAATGAACTCCCGTGAGGCTACTCATGTTTCTGTAAGTAGCAGCAGTAATACCTCTGGATAAACAAAAGAACGTAACAATTCCTAAAATCGGCTTGCAGAACATAAGTGACATTTGTCCTGTTCAATGTTTTGAAACCGGTTTGGAACCCTTCCTTACCGACTTGAACGTTGCTTCAGAAGCAGCAACTTCATGTATACGCACTTTAAAATATCGATTAGTCGAAGGCAAATATCTAAGTAAAGTAGAATTATTTTGAAAAATAAGCAAATGGCGGTCTTTTAACGGAAGAATTTACTTCTTTGCTCCGAGAGAGATCAACTTTGAAGGTTCACGCAAATTGACGAAACTAAAATATTTAAAAAGTCATACGCCATTTTATACTAGGTAACATTAAAAATAAATAATGTGTAAAGAGACGTGTGATTTAATGGATGTACGTATGTAAGTTTATTTAGCTTGAGGTGCTACCATTTTCGACGCAATGATTTCGTTAATCGTATGAATTTGACGAGTTCAAAAAGTACGTAATATTACACTTATTAAAAGTACATAATATTGGTTGAATATTACAGAGAATTAAAAGAAAGCATCTAAAATTTATTAACTATAAATATAATTATATATATATATATAAACTATACTAAATATATAAATATATATTAAAAATTATTAACTCTAAAATTTATTAACTATAAATATATTAAAAATTTATTAATATATATTCTTTTTTCAGCAAAATCCATGGAACTTTGAATTTAACTTTTGTTATTTCTTCCAATTTTCTCGACAGTCCAACATATATATGAAACATGAAAGATATGCAAAGCTTTTTACGCAAGCACATTCTCAGTTTCTTTTAAACCGATAAAATGATGTGTTAGTACACGTTGATGTACTGATAAAAAATACACACGATAATGTTTGTACATCTTATATTTAAATATATTGATAATACATAGTAAGCAGATTTACATAAATTATGGAAGACACGGATTTTTATCTTACTTCGTAGAATCACATAAACATTAAGCGTTAGTCAATGTTTTCTTTTTCTTTTTTCAAGAGAGAGTTCTTAATTACGCTTACTGTAATTCACTTAATACTCGTAACTGTAACACTTACATATATATATCGTGTGTAAATGCGTTAATGTTACTTAATTTCAAACACATATGACATTACGTTCTTAAACGTATTTTGCACTCGATAGTTTTACTCATACGGATGATGTATTGTATCGACGATTCACTTATCGATAAACTTAAAATATTTGTTGGCAATTTTTAGAAGTATTCAGATACGAGTAAGTTACTCGAATTATTTACATAATTAATCTCCTTCCGGAATCCAATATACATGGATAAAAAGGAAAATCAATGGATCTTTGAACTTTGTGCCCGTGTTTAATTAAAAATCTTTTTTTATAACTCACTGTTTTGTCAGAGTAGAAAAATTAAACGACAGTCTATTCCAGTGTTTTCCTTTTTTTTTTTTTTTTTGCATTATTAGCCTTTTTGAAACACATTCTGTAAATTAAAGTATCAAAAAAAGAAAAGTGCTTGGATGAGTAAAGATCATTTTTTTAAAGTCGCCATCATATTGTTTCCTTGCTAATGTGTAAGATTTTTAACTCAATATTTTCCAGATATCCATTGGGATGGATGAAATTCAACATTTTAACCAGCTGTTCAGCATGTTTTCTTTCTACATGTATATCAGAAGTTATGGTAATTTCATATCTAAAAATAGTGGAACACTGAAGTTATAGAGTAGAAAATCGACGCTTGACCAAACTTTCCCGTTTCTCATTTTCATGCGAGTATTTCCAATTTTTCTTTCTTCTTTTTTCTTTTTCTATGTTTAATTGGGCAAGTAGTATTCCCTCGGAATGTATTCTGGCTTTGGACTACTCGGTTCGATTCCGAGCAACTCTCCCATGAACGCAATGTAAGTGATGGCCAAACGCAACGTTTCGATCCTTGAAAGTCGTTTCTCGTAAGCAAAAGTTGGTACCTAAGAAGTAAAGATTGCCCGATAAACTTGAAGAATATCAATGCAATCAGTGGACTTCAAATATTCATGCATTGCACGAGAAATTCAAAAGCGCCAAGGTACTCGTATTTCTTTAGCTTAATGTTTATAAAAATATATACATTTACAATTGAATAATTATAGGGATGAAGGTTAATAAAGCGTAACAATTAATAACAAAAGATAATCTTACTCACACGAAATTAACAATATAATCACAGGGGCCACGATCGCAATAACAATCAACGCGTTATTTTTGCAACTCACTTTTCTGCGTAACTTGTCAAAAGCTTCGTTCAGATTGAACATTCTACGCCTCTCGCGGATATTCGCTGCTCTCCTTTGTGAAACAGTCGCCACACGACGCCTTGGTTTCTTCGTGGTGGACGATGGGAGATTCGGAGATCTACCATTGGGTGTATAACGACTGAAATTATTTTTCGTCAATAGGTAACCGTAACGAAATATCTAGTCTAGATATTTCTCGTTTCACTCATTCATTCGTACTTGTTTCATTCAGGATTAGTAAACTTCAACGTCCGAAATCATCGCTACGATTTGTCGCTGCGCGAATTAAAATTACGACCCGAAAGGAAATATTTATTGCGATGAAGAGATACGTTTAGGGGAACTGGTACTTACCTTTGATGCAATAACGCACAGGGTTGTCTGTATAATCCGTGTTCGTTCATATGAGAGTGCGAAGGAGGTGGTGCTTGGTATAATACGGAACTGTCCCACATCGGGTAGCTTCCGAGCTCGCCGCTGACGTATTGCGACATATCCGCTGTAATCACCTATTTCATTTACTTACGTTTACTTTTATTCGCTGTTTCTTATTAATATGAAAGAAACACTATGTCACAATCGTGATATTCCAGTTTTTGTCATTAATTAAACATACAAACAGAATTGGAGAATTAAATATTAATTCAAATTTACACAGTATCAAACGCTGAGAAAAATACAAGGTATTTAATTAACATTTCCTTCTTTATGTTATAATTCAGTAAATGACATTGTAGTAAAGTATGCTTACATTCATCACAAGAATGTTACATCAATCCAAAGTTAAGCTTATTTACACGCTATATAACGTTACAATTGCAAGATTTTGATTTCCTTGTAATTACTATATACTCACTGGTGCTTGATTTCCATTGATCTCCCACAGCGGTTCGGTGTAACTCATATCCCGGGTTCTGTCCAGCGGTGAACGAACTCAGGAGGATCACTTGGTGTTTCCGTTTAAAAAAAAAAAATAATGAAAAAGAATACGTCGACGCACAGGTCAAGTAAAACGTTTGTTACCGGGACGAGTGTCACCTTCAATCTGAGGATGCTGAAGATATCCTCATCCAGGGGATGGAACTGTAGTGCTTGGTAAATCTCTAGCCCGCCCCCTTTTCAAAGCAACCCTCTGGAACCAGTGTCGTTCACCATTCTCGAACGCTTGCGTAATGGTCTCTGTTCCCATTGGAGACCCTCACCCTTAACCAGGTTGAGTGAAACACGATCGTTGGACAGGTGGTTGCGAAGGGGTGGAGCTTACAAACAACCCTCATGGTTTGCCTTGTTTCGCAGGGATTGAGAGTTGAACAGTATCGGAATTATCGACCGTTAAAGATGGACCAACTATTTGTTAGAAATTTTTCTTTTTTCTTTTTTAATGCCTCTCAGCTCTTTTGTCTCTTTCAATTTACTTTCTTTCTTTTTTTTTTGTTCATAGATGCAAAAGGTTCGTTTGTATTTGACACCCTGCAAATATAATGAAACGAATATGTAAGAATTGATTATCATTCGAATGTTCTTGAATTGAAAATCAGTCATCTGCTGGATGAATGGATTATTTTTACAATGAACTTTTTATCTATATTACAATGAACTCATCGGCCACGTTCTGTTGTAGTAAGCAAATTTACTTATTAACTTTCTGAGCGAATAAAATTGTACATGTTAGAGTTAATAGATTCTTTTATTTCCTTTCAGGAGTCACACTATGGCACGTGTGCTAAATGAAGTGCAATCACCTGGCAAAATTCTATTATCAACGTATTAAATGTAGCCAATGTGTGAAGATTGGTACTAAAATTTTTATGCTATTATATACTGTCGAGGAATATATATAATGTTCTTTAGGAACAGTATAAAAATACTTCACTTCTCATCAGATGTGAGTAAAGATATTTCATTACATACGTAACAACAAATGTAAAGATACAGATCATCCTACGATGACGATTTATTTACTTTAAAATCACGAAAGATACAATTTTCTGCAAGTTAGGATTACGATTTCTCTGTGTCCATTTCGAGACAAATTGCTTCATAAATTGAGCCCGTAATAGGATCACTCAAAAGACCATGACAAAGTCTCCTCAGAAGGGTAACATATTGTCAAACCGAGGGTGTGTTCCCCCCCGAATTAATTAAATAGATATTAGCCGATTCACTTGACGCTTAAGTTCTCCCTTTTCGGACACGTATAAACATCCAGCATGCTATCTGCGTGTCAAATCGCATTGTGTTCGCTTCAAGAGTTCAAAGGGTGCATAAAGTTATTAATATTCGGCCGCGAGCAAGCAGCTCTCTTATTAAGATCAATTTCTCTGTTCTTTTCGTTCTCTCGCTATTATAATAGAATTATTTTGTTATTGTTACATGTAAGGAATATCCCTTGTAATCTATTTTGTTTCGTTTTGAAGGATAATTCAGTCCCATTTTTTATTCTCTTGCGTTTCTCGAGAATTCAAAAATCGTTGTCAAGCATATTTATTAACTTTCTAGTCCCTTTTTAAACAAATCGAAGAATTATAAGACACGAAAAATATCTCTTGAAAGTAACGACAGTGGTGAGTATAAAAGAAATTGTTTCAAAAGAAATTGTTTATAAAAATTACTGAGCAATATACTAAATATCCATTTCTTAATTTTATTTCATACTTATACGTGCACCAAGTACCTGAAAAATGTCTCTTAATAAATGCGATAAAATACATGGACGAGAAATTAAATTAATTTATCTAACATATGACATATATCTTGTAGATTTGTATCCATTAACCGTGTCGGTGGATCTTTAATTCGAGTCTGGTAATATGCACTATATCCATAACTGCAAGCTGACGCTTTGGATCGATGCTCTGAGCGTCGGCGCTGAAATGCTTCATGGCTAAATTTCGAAGCTTTTCTAGAATGAAGGATATTCGATATAATGCCAAATCGACGAGCAATTCTTCTCACCGTTGAACCAACGCCGAGATAAAATCAGTTAGGTCAGTAAATTCCATTAAATAACGCCAGACACATACATTCTTGAATCCATACGTGTAAATGTAATAATAATATTTCTGAAATATTCTTAATTAATTGAAGAATAATTAATATTGTTAAAGGAGTTGCAATAAATTAAAAACTTCTTATGTTTTTCAATAATCTGCAACGTTTTTGTATTATGATTTATAGTATGAAAGCAGTATAATAATATGATATCATTTCAAATTTTCCTCATGTGCCGATCTGATCAAAAATAACTGACAAATATGTAGGATGACGTAAAGAGTGTCAAAAATCAGATTTGGGTTCATCCCCCTGCGGTGCACGTGTTCCTCTGTGATCTAATTCTGATGCGATTCTAACAATGGATACGCCTTCCGCAACAGGGTCACACCATTGACAGCAATTACGCAATTTCGTTACGGGGATACCCACCTTCTTCAATAGAACGTTGCACATAATACGGATTTATCACAGGGTTTTCGCAAGAATAGGGGAAAATTCGAGCAAAATCTCTCTCCTCCTGACATATCATGGTTCAGATTTCTAATGAACATACACACATATTTACGAAAAAATAACGATCAATGTGGATATAAATAAACAGATTATATATATATATATATACAAAATTATAAATAAATTCGAGTTATTGATTTGAAGAAACGATCAGATAAATAGATATATAAGTAATTTAACATAGAAAACATCTCAAAATTTGTGAAGCAAGTTAGAATAAAAGTTTAAGATAAATAGGGATAAACTATTTATTACAAAAACGTGTCGTTTTTTTACAGATAAAACTTCACACTAAATTATGTTATTCAGTTATATTATTCAGTTTGGTTGAAATATAGAATGTAAATATAAAATGTAAATAGGCGCCATTTTTTTGAATTCTTGTAAATATGCGTAGCACACGTGACCTCTTCTCGGACCAATCGCAGCCTCTGATTGATTTTGCTAACGATCATCTTTGAATTTTTCTTCAGTTTCCTCCGGTTGTGACTGAGTGACACTGCAATCACGAAAATATCGCTATTCGGCTATTTTTTATATATTATAGAACAAGTGCTATCATTCGGCTATTTTTTATATATTATAGAACAAGTGCGAAAAAAGTGTATATAAATAAAAAAAAAAAATAAATCTATTTCTTGTGCTGTCTAACTAAAATTCGTCAGTCCTTCGAGAAAAGACGTAAGTTGATTTGAAACCCAGCCAATCGTGTTCAATCTTGTATTTCATCGACTTCAGATTTTTCTCCTGTTTGTATGCTTTTAATTTGAAAACTTCTATACTTCTTTCTGTCTGTTTTTAAGTAAGTTGTTAACAACTATATAAACAACAAATTATATTCATTATATTTTTTTACAGAAACAATTTAAGTATTATCGATTTAAACAAGAATGCATTCTTCCTGGTCACATGGAGTTTCGAAAATTCACGGTTCTGTCTTAACATAGTACGGTAAGAAAACCCATTAAATTCTGATAAAAGTTTGCTAGTGAATTTACTACCAACTTGTAGGAATTTAGTTTTTTAGCGTTTGCATCGTGAAATTTTCAAACGTGGAATGAGACGAGTAATCCCCTTCTAATTCGATGTATACGATGGAACAATTTGTTATTGCAACTGTAAGTAATTATAAATAATACGGTATGGTGTCGACATATTTATTGATTGAGAGATAATGTCAGATAACATTGTAAATAAGATTAGATAAATTTAATTTTTAACCTTTCTTTATTGTACAGATATTTTATACATACATGTGCATTTGCCTTACACAGTTTTTTTTTTTTTTTTTTTTTTAACTTTTACGATGTCAGCGAATCCTAACAATTGCATTATCACACTGATATTAGCGACGGAGAATCACGTTGAGATTGACTTTCACTAGCAAATGCTTTATTTTAAAACAAAGTCACATACGTCGGAATGGAAATCGGCGTATGCCAAGCGGGAAAACATTTCAAACATTCTAAAACGCGGCGATTTCTTTGCGACATCTTACAAAATCTCTGCAAATTATTCAACATTCAACGCTATCATCTAATTGCTCGATACATAGAAAATTCGCCAGTTTTTTCGCTAAAATACATTTTACAAAATATTGCTTCCGAGACAACATTTAGGACAGCGCACAGTACAAGCTATTTAACTTTATTACGGCAAATAAAATTATTGTAAGCACATGTGCACGATATATACGTGATATTAGACGAAAATAATAATTAAACGTGACCTCATACATTCTTCTTCTCATGGAATATCAATTTTTTTTTTTTTTTTTTAATTGGCGTTAATCAGCAGATTTTCGAATTAATTGACGAAAATATTGCTTTTCTTTCAAGGCAGAAAAGATTGATGAAGAATAAGTCCCTAATCTTTTTCGGTACGTAATAAAGTTAAACGAGCGCGGTGATGATTTTACTGCGATACAATTACAAAGTTAATCAGAAGCATGATAAGTTTAATTAAAAGCAGCACCTTGCACGTTTGAGGCTAATATAAAACCACAGTTATCTATATAATTTTCAACTTGAATAGTTTCTTCAACGAGAGACACTCTAAAATTCATAAGAAAAATAGCGTATATATGTATATATCATCTGTTTTAACAGATTATTCTGCAAGGTATTTACATACGTAATAGGAAACGAATGTACTTTGTTACAGAACAGTTATTATTTAATCATTATAATTGGAGTTAATGTTTCATAATTCATAGCATTTATATTTGTATTTTTCTTTTTTTTTTTGGAGATAATAATGTTACATCACATCCTTGTAAAACAAAACAAAAATTAACATTAAAATTTAATAGCAGTACTTTTGAATGAATCTATAAAATGCTTTCATAAGTTAAAAAAATAATTTCGTGAGAAGTATATGTCGTTAGTATTAATAAAACTATGTTTATAAAATTAAAAAACAACAATACCATTTTAATATGAAAGGAACTTTTAAACTTCTTTGCTCTCGCGCATTTAGTTTTGCAAATGAGGTATATTTGGGTACTTGTTGAGTCGACTGCCGTGAGAGATTCATGTTTCATATATATGATTAATGAAAATCTTGTAATATATATCAAACTTTTTTGAGGTAGGTCTTTAACACATCTCTCTTCTTGACTCAAACACATTTTGCCTTAGCTCTAACATATTATTAACATTGCACATATATTATCTACAAAAATACTATTACACCATTACATACAAGCGTCAATTAAAAAATAATTTAATGTACATCACAATCTGATAAGTACACTATTGAACATGAAGGAATGTTATTAACGTTGCTCTGACTCTAATAATACTTCTATTTTGATAAACTGTTCATAACATGCATAATTCGTGTGTTCATATGTTCACGTTGAAAAAAATTTTTGTTACGCTATATGCGCTTTAAGTATTGCTAACGATCTCAACGAATGTGAAAAAGCAGACTACTAAATAATGTATGTGACATTGCGTTGAAAACTAAAAGGTAAAAAATTTTCATCTCGTGAAGTTTCATCAATCTTGTGAATATCTAACACAAATAACATGAACCTTGATTTATTCGTAATGTTAAACGGTTCAATGATTTTATATGAAATATCTTATTTGTTGTATTAAGGAGATGGATTTAACAAATAAACTCGGGTAATATTTTAAAAACGAATACTCTCAGAAATCGGGTTTCTCTTCCTTCTCGTCCTGAACGTTAAAACCTATTGTAACGCTGGAGTTACCTGTCATACTGCTTGCTACAGTCAAGATTGGCTCTTTCGATTTCATTTCTGAGCAAGAATCTTTTGATTCCATCATGCTCTGCTTCCAATTTTCCAAGTCTTCGTCCGACATATTTGAAAGTGAGCTTAACTTTGACGTACACTTGTAACTGTAATTTGTTTCAAGCTTTTGCGTTGAGGTTTTTGGCATAGAAACACTCTGAGATCGAGAGAAATTCTTCCTTTTACAACTGCTGAAGGAATGAAGCTTTTTCTGTTCCTGCGCAATCTCAGTACCGTCCTTGTTCTTCTGCATTCTTTCTGCATTGAAAGATTCAGTTTTCTGGAGGGTAGATGATCTTGTCTTGTCCACGTTATCTGTTTCTTTAATCCTCACATCTTCGTCTGTTATTTCCATGCTTTCGACAAGGAATCTAGAAGAGAATGCAAAATAAAATGATCAATCACATTTTGAAAACCTCGGGGCATAATTAATCTTTTTAACAAAGATTCACCTTCCAATTTTTTTGTAACTGCTGTTATTAGATTTTGTGCTTGGGTTTTCCTTCTGCTCAAATATTTGTTTCACATCCTGCTTCTTCTGCTCTTCAGTCTGTTTTAAAGTTATAGTATGATCTTCGTCATCATCCATATTATCAGCAGGAAGATCATCATTGGTACGCATTATCTTCTGTATATTGGAATTAAAACCAGCCCCGAAACCACAATTTCGTATTTGACCATCTTCGTTGCTATAGTAATCTGTATAGGATACGCTGCCGCGACCCTCTCTGTGCTCTTGATCTATATTTATGCAGAACTCGTTGAAGTCCACATCCAAACAGGGTGTTGTAGGAAACTTGGGACCCACGTTAAAGGCTTGTGCTCTGTAAAGAGTAAAAAAAAAAAAATGTACCTTTTAAATACGGTATAATCTCTTTTTTGGATCAGTCATTAGACGTTATACATTACCCATCATTGCTGATTAGGCTTATAGACATGCTGCATTCTCCTGTTGAAGTTGGTGCAGGGGATGAGGGTTCAGAAGAAAGAAATGATTGCGGTTCACTGCTCCACCCAGTACCTAATACATTGATACATTAATAATATATATATATATATATATATATACATATATATATATTTGTCGTTAATGCATGTAATTCCATTAATACCAAAATTCAAGTAACAATACGACTAAACAACACTCACTATTAGGACTAGTCGGTGACAGCTGATTCCTTATATCACAAGGCTCTCCGTCATTCGAAGGTTTATATTGTATGGGGGTTGGTGTGATGTACCTAAGAAGAAGGGGGCATCACTTTACGTATCTCCATCGGGAAGTGCAATCGTTAGAAAAATGCAGTTCAAAAGAAACAAGAAATAAGAAATAAAGTTAATGCTCTTGGCGAAAACGCTGGTAAATGAGAAAAAGGAAAGAAGAGAAGAGAAAACAAAAGAACCAAAAAAAAAAAAAGAAGAAGAAGAAAAGAAAAGAACTTAATACTCACAAGGGTGGTTTACTTAATTTCTTACGGTACCTGACAGCTTCCAAGTCGGAAGAGTGGTACTCGCGACTGATTCCTCCGATACTGAGATTTTGGTTAACCGATTCGTGAGTTGATCCAGCGGGGGAAGGGTATTTCGGTGGCGAGGAGGCGGGCGTTCGGAACAGAGGGGCGCTGGTCATCATTTCCAAGAATGAATCCAACTGACGTAACGACAACGCGTTGTGAAGTGTTTCCAACGGCCTTATCGGCGGCACACCACCAAAACCTTCTATCGCTAATGAGCAATGAAATTAAATTAGTTTCAGTTGCGTGTCCTAACGCCGAAAGAGAAAGACCAAGACCATTGTATTCTACTGAATACGAGCGAAGAAGGAAAGCAAAAGAAGAGACTCACCAGCAACAGCAGAGGCGTGCGGAGGTACCATGTCCTTGAGATTTGGCGCGCTGGAAGATCCGCTGATAACAGCCGTGCTGAACAAACTATTCGCTGAACCGGTCAGCTTCTTGTTGATACTGTAGCCCAACAGCTTGAAATAACTCATCTGTCCGGAGATACTGTGACGGTGGCGCCTTGCTGTGCAGGTAGGGTCAGGTTGAATGATCGAAGGTCGTGTGTCTGGAGATGAGAAGGATCGTTGAGGCTGGAGTCGGGACAACGGTTCACGTGGACTCTTGGAACGATGGTAACACTTGCGGGGGGTATCGTGATCATCGTGAACATCATTATCGTGCGCAGGGAGCATATGAGAAAGCGTACTACTACAATCTGGTGCGTATGGTACCAGGCTACCACCGTGCCACTGGAGATTCACATTGGGACAAGACCATCGTCCGTACATCGCTGAACAATCGACAGCTACGTCGTTCTCGTTTGGACAAACGGGATCGACGCGAGAGAAGATGTCGGGCCTCACGTTCGGACAGGATAAGCTTCTGAACGGTACACGTGTATCCCCAATTATATCACCGCTACTGGAATTTTCTCTCGCCACACTCTTATCGAACCTCCGCCACTTCTCTTTCTCCTTGCGATCGTGATCTCTCGGCTGTTGTATAATGATACAACGATCGAACCTCGATCCTAAACAAGGAGCAACGACACTCTGCCTCTCAGGAAACGTGGGGAATCTACTCTTTGGGCATACAAAGAATGAACCAGACTGATCTAATCCGGCGATTCCTCCGTGACTCCCACAGTTATTGTTAAAGGAGCGACAACAAACACGAGTGAGTCTGTCCGGTTGCAGGCTCGAGTAACAGGAACAATTGACGAACTTATGGGAGAGCGAGCGTGCGAAGTAGATGTCGAAGTTGAAACGCTCGACAGGCGGTAACTCCCTGCTCGTCAGGATCAACTCCGACACGTTACAATTATAACAAAGGCATTTGGGCACGTAAGGTGGCGACGAACGAGAACGTTCTCTCAGCTCGGTCTGTTCTACGAGTGTCATTACCTCTGGAGTTCTTTCGCACAGGGTTAATGAGAAGGGGGATCGATTCGGCCACGGCAGTATCGAGGAATCGGTCAACTCACCGCTCCGCTCGATTCCAGGGAGTATCATCTCCGAACGAGAACGTCCGTATTTCTTACTCTGAGAAATCAGCGGATCGAAATCATCGTCAGGCACGTCGGGCTCGTGATCTACATTAAAGAACGAAGAACAAATTATGGGGACCACGACGCTCGTCGCGTTCGACGTCGTCCGGTTGTTCGGCGAGATCAGGGGAGACGTGTGCAAGGTCACCAAAGGTGTCGAACACGAGACGGATGTTTCTAGCGAAGGAACCGGGAACTCCGGCGAACTGAAAGAGTGTGGCAGACCCAACTTTCCCGTAGGCACGTTCAGCGAAACCTGGCCAGATCTCTCTAAGTAGCGTTGCTCTGTACATGCGCGCGCGCGCGCGTGTGTGTGTGTGTGTGGGGGGGGGGGGGGAATTATACGTCGTTTGCATGCGAGTCATTTCGATAGACAAAGAGAAAAAGAGAGAAAAAAGAGGTGCAGTTAAAATGAACGTGTGGATAAACGATGTAACGTTGGGAGATTCAGAGGGTGCAGAGGAGGGAAAGAAAAGAAAAGAAACAGACGATTAAACGAACCCATCACCGAAAAGAAATTAAAAAGAACATTGGCAAGAACCTTTGGTCACGTCGTCGACGCTTGAGAAAATTAAAACTCGTTGAGAAGTCGTCTTATTGTCACTATTGTACATATAGTAATGTGATCTCATTGAAACTTATGCATAAAATTTGCAAAAATAAACGAGTGTGCCAATGACAAACATTTTTAAAAATGTCAATGAAATTACAAGAAACTTTTAGATTACTTCTTACTGTAACACAGTCGATGGACTTGTATTACAGTCTGTACTACAAAACAGAAATGCTAATATGTAGTTGGAGTTGAAGACGACGTTTTAAAGGAAAGATTCATTACCAATGGAGGAATAAAGTAACTGAAATACACTGGAAAAAAAGAATGACATATAGTTCAATTTACTTTATGCGTTTAGAAGACACAATTTTGGTTAATGTTATACACACCCATGGCACACGATAGCCATGCAACCAGTAAGCCAACCAAACAACAACAATGAACTTTGTTGACATTTGTCTAATGTGATTATGAGCTTATGCAACAATGACAATCGAAGATTGTAGCAAGTTAGTTGCTATGTTTCATACGTGAAATTGGCAGTATGCAACGAGTGATTATGAAATTTTTGATTGCCACATCAGAAGTTAATTTGTTCAAGTAGGAATATGAAAATTGAATTTCGTCTGTGCTTAGAATTTCTAACATCACTGAGGCGATAAAATAATATTTTAAAATTACGATAAAGAAGAAAGAAGAAGAAGAAAGGATAATAAAAATTTTATTATTTTTAGAGGAACAAAGAATTAAAATCAAATCAGAGATATTTTCCTTTAAAAAGAACTTCTACAGTTATATGAGAGAGAAAGTACATGTTCCACATTCATTCATATAGAAATAATAACTCTACAATAGAATATGTAATGTAATACGAACAGCAAACGAAATATAAAAGTGGATAATAGAAAATTAAAATGTTATGCAATTGCATATTGACAGGTATGTACATGTAAAAAAAAATTGCAACATGATTTTAGAAAATAACTAAGCACTAATTGATTGCGACTCTTAATGAAACAATGATACAGGAATGAAGGAATTAGGATGACGGCTGAATAAGTTACACTATTTGTCAATGTGTAACTCAAACAGTCGTTCGTAAATATTAGTTGGCTTCCACGCGCACAACTATCGCTGAGCAAAGAGTTATTTCAACTGAATTTCCCTATTCCCATTTAACATCATGTTCTTTTGTTAAATTCCATTAGTTTCAAGCTTCCACTTGTACATACAATATGATTTTAATTGTATATCTATCCAACGTCTAACATCTGTCCATCAAGTTGTCAAGATTTCTTTAGCAGGAACTTTACAGTTTTATATAATACTTGTAACAAAAACTGAACTTCGCTTGTACCATCTATTACACGTAGAACTGAATATAATACAAAAGAAAATACACAGAAAATAATGCGACATTAAGGATTAGGCATGATACTGACTGAAGACTATCTACAGAAAATTATATACGTGTACGTTCACTATTAATAGTAATAGTACGAGATAATGCTCCTTATAAAAAAAAAGTATCGCAGTACCAATAAATATAAGGGATGCTATGTATTTCATAGAAGAATTAAAAGATGCAAATCACAGTGATCAGCAGCTACGAAAATTACCATCTCAAAAGCGAAGAATAAATTAAACAGTCAACTGAATAGCCAATTTTCCTATGAAAATGGAATGTAACTAAATAAAAAGAAGAAAAGAAAAAATATTATAAATATCTTTGTATGATGCTACGGTATATCGAAACTTTAAATGCTTTAAAAATCCTGCAACAATCATCTATGATCAGACAATGCATTATAACCTGCTGAAGTTATTACAGCGACTGACATACCTTCTTTGTTGACCGCGTCCAAGCTCTGATACTGCAGCTTGTCCGCAGCTATAAAAAAAAGACACGAAAAACACCAGATTTTCTGGTTAAATCTGAATGTTAGCTGTACAAGTTACCCAAGAAGAAAAATTTCATTAATGAAATATTAAGTGTATGCTATTCTTACAATACACTACTGGATCTTTAGCAACGTATTGCTAAGTTTACCCAAATCACTATTTACAAATGTTTTTCGTAATTGTTTTTGTTAGAATTCACTTACATGCACAATTACAGACTATAACTGCGAACTTATTGTTATATATATCTACATCAATGTTAACTATATTATACTCATATTAACTCACCTTTCTCGGACTTGTCCTGTCTCTGATAATCATAGCTGCGTGCACGTGGTTCAACAATTGTACTTCTCTCGGCGTCACGTCGTTGGCGTTGACTCGCAGCTAACTGACTACCTAATCTCGCCGCTTCGTGACCAGCCACAGTTCTAGCACTAAATTTTGCGTCATATCTTATATAGAAGACTACTGATTAATTTAATCCGTAAAAAAGGGGACTCATTGAAAACTCAAAACTATGTACCTTATTGGAATGGGCGCGGAGCTTTGCAAAAATCCACTATCAAACGGTTCGTCCATCATGTTAGGATGTAGATCCATCATATCAACTGCTCTACTGGTTGTTGGACTATCCATTGCATCTACAGTATCTGACTCTATCGTTGGCGGAGGTGTTTCCTGAATGTTAAATAAAAAATGCTAATTTATCTGCACTCCCTTTTGAGTATAAAACATTTATACATACAGATTGTAATGGAGGATTCATGAAATCATCTTCCAGAATACCCAACTCTACATCCTCTTCTTCTATTCGAGTGCTGCATTGTGAAATGGTATCTTGAGCAGAACCACCACTTTCACCCTGAAAATATAAAACACGTATATCCCTAAATAACTCTATTACGGATAAAAGAACTAGCCACAGGATTTACTTACTACGTTGTGACTACTCTCGTTGCGTGAATGGGGTCTAAAACCTGGCCCTGGCGGCAAATTCTTTTGCACGCAACAGTTTACACCAGGACTAAAATGTAATTCAACGTGAAAACGTTCTTCGCTGCTAGGATCTTTCGTTGGATCTTCGTATAACATAACTACAATTTGAGACATGTAATTTAATTCAGAGACCATACTAACGTATTCCATAGCCCGACGCCATTGCTCATCTTTTACTACCTGTAGTATAATTAATACATTAGAATTCATTACACATTACATAAAACACATACATGTAAGATGCATACATCAAGTAAACCACCATAACGTAAAACAGTTAGCAAAGAATGCACATGGCTTTCACTTGTAAAATAAAGTCTTGTGCGTACGTGTCGACCAGGACTAGACACTCCATGGGAATATCTGAAATTTTTTTATAATATTAACAATCGTACAATGCATTTACATCATACATATATATACATAATAATTATAATATATAATAATTATATATATACACAAAATATTTACCTCGGATTGAGTCTATTAACTGTTTCTTCTCCAGATTCTTCAATATTTCTTTGCAAATCTGCTCTTATCTTTTTCAAAAGAGGAGTACAAATACCTTGGCCTATGGTGAGCTTCTCCTGCACCGTTAATCCGTACTCCTACAAATATACAAAATTAAATTCTCTTCCTAAAAAGATAAAATCTATTCACTTGTGGCATTATCTCACCTGCGGTATCACTATATCTGCCAGGTACTTGGAATAAATGTACAATTCTTCCGCGTGTTCGAATTGCAACGTGTGGTTATTATGTTGCAAATCATACTTTATACAATCATAAATATCCGGAATTTTTGATATGTCGAATCTTTTGTTTTTAGTACAGAAGTCTTTTTCTATCTTTCCCCATCGTCGACCCATTAATTCCCACGTTTCACCGTGATAAAGAATTGCATCTAAATATATTAGATAAATAAGCATAATTTCACAATATGGTTATATATATGAAATCATACCTTTGGTTTTGGGATCATCTTTTTTAATACGGACAATGTCCATTAATTTCTGAATCAAAGTATGAACATGTTGACAGCAACGAACAGGGTTTTTAACGAAATCCATTGCTGCGTTGATGCTCAATGCGTTTCCAGGATTTATCTGTTCTCTATCTTCACGTGTAAACTCTCGGTCTTGTTGTAATAATTCATGTAGTCGTGTTTTTACCCTGTAAAAGTATATCGTCAAAATGCACTTGAAATGTACAACAATGATACTTGCATAAATTGCCTTACATGTTTTGGTATTTACTGCTATCACAATCGTTGTCCAATAGACCATTAGTATTAGCACTTTTCACCATCTGAACCAATATAGGCGTTAATTCACCTTCCAATGCGAGTAAACCTTTTGCAAAAGCTGCAGCGGTCATTTGAACCCTTCCTTCGTCACTTGCATAAATCTTTAAGTCATGTCGAAATGTTGAATGAAGTCTAAGTAGCCCTAAACCTTGTGCACCAGCATAGTCACCTATATATACACAAAAATACTTTAGAAAAATGTAAATACAAAGCGTATCTTCCATTTTTAATAGACATAAAATAAGTATATATGAGATTTCACTGGATGATCTATGTTCTGATAAAAAAATAATCATAAAAGATTACTATAAAAATTCATCGTATGTCAATTTAATTATCTAATACGTATCAATATCTAAACAAATCTAATCAGATGTATATACATTAAGCATATTTAAGACATTTATGTTCATTTCCTTATTAATAATCTGAACAATACCGTAGAAATTATTTTATTTATTTTCGACTTTCTTAAGATGAAAATGCTTATGACAGACTGTTTATGACAAAAAATAGAACGATATATATAAATTTACAATACATGTGTGTGTACAGGTGTATGTATATGTCCTTTAGGCATGATATTACATGAATGACGAGATATATGAAACCTACTGAAAAAAGAAGATAAAACATATATAAACATTTAAGGCCACAAAATAGATAAAGAGCAACTACCATTGAACTATCATTGCAATAAAGTGGAATACATTGAATTAGCATAGAAATAGCATTTTCTTTTACGTTTTAACAGCTTTTGAGCCGTTCTAACAGATTAATCTATAAGTATCTGTATGATGATTTTCTAACAAAGACTTGATTATCACTTTCTTACTATTTCTATGCATATATAGCACAATCTACGTATAACTACAAAAAAGCGTTGATTCAGAATAAAAAGTTACCGTGGTTTGGTAACATCTCTGAGTCTTCCTCTGAAATAATATTTGAAATTATCTATGAATCAAAGATCCTTGTAACAATTGAAAGATTTTCGTAAAATTTTTGATATTTATCTACTCTTTAATCAAATATTAAACGATCATCAATAGTCTAATTAAAAGCCTGAAATTTACCATCCATTTGCCTTCACATTTTTATTTTTAAATAAAAAGTGAATTAACATATCCAATGCCTAATACATACACGAGTTTTACTTCGGTTAAATTATATTGTGCAAGATAAATAGCAAAATGTATTTATGCATACGCTCAATTGAGCAGTCCAGACAAATAATAAGTCCAGCCGGAGTTCAGCCAACATATGAAACTCATTAAATAAATAATGATCATTAATAATCATTATATAAATTAACTTAGGAATGAGCATGATAAGCGTATGAACATAAGATACGAACCACTAAGGTGTCTACCTTGACCACCGGGATACATGCAGCGAAATATTCTTCCCAATTCCTCTGCCTGAATACGGCCGGCTGGTGTTAATTCTCCACCCCATTTCAATATCAAAACAAGGGAAGGCTCTCCAAGTCGATCTGATAAAAATATATTATTTATAAATAACATATATCTATATTTCATGAATATATTATTCTATGCTTTATACCATCATCTGATGAGCTTCCTCTGGGTCGTCCCCTTGGTTGATACTTCATTTGCACCTTGCGATTTATCCCTGAAAAATGGCCATACCTGCAAAATATAACGTGATCGAAGTTAGATTGGTTAAAATGAAAATTATATATTAAATGAAGATTATGTATATTAAAAATTCACATTTCTAAGACGCTTTTCAATTGTTCTAATTTTCCCTGTTTCTCTTCCAATTCAGGCCCAGCAGCGCGATGTTGTATTTCAGCTAATAAACTACGTGCAGTATCCAATATTTCTTGCAATTGCTTAGGCCTTTTCAATTTAATGTGACCGTGTTTATAACCGTCGTATTTTGCAAATATCTCGAAGAATCTATATGGAATAAGATGAATAAAATATTATTTTTCGATAGCATAATATATCTACTTAAAAAAGATATACCTACTTCGGATGACGGACTTCCACTTTCATTTTCTGTTTTGGTGTTCGATCTCCGTGTCTTATAACAGCAACTACGCATCGTAATTCCATCCTGAGATAAATAAATAAATAGTCATGGGATCAAAAGATAGTATTAAAAATATTAACATAAAAGTAAACTCTATTTACATTTTCCCAAATGTAGTAGGCACAATAGGTGGATCGTCTAATTGAAAAGGAACGCTCCATGGTATATGCAAAGTAGGTGCCAACTCTCTTAAAATCATATTTCCCAAAATCTTCGCACAGTCATCATAATATTTGTTAGAATTCTTTACAAAGCTAAAACCATTTACATCGCACACAAATGACTGGCCATTTGCTCTAAAATATTACGATAGATCAGTATAATAAAAAATAGATTATTACTTCCTTCAAATTTCAAGTTTGATTTCAAGTAAAACAATACCTAAGTAAATCAAAACCGCAAACTGTTTGTTTGAAGGCTAAGCAGACTTTTCTACTAATTAACTTCTCAGCGTTACTTAGTATAACCGGATAGCGAATTTCTTTTCCCTCCGAGTCTCTTTCAACTTTACCGTCCAATGCAGGACTTTTTCTTGCTTCTGCGTGAGCATAATCTGGACCTACAGTATAAACCTTAACATCTGTACCATCTGTTGGCATAAAATCTTCGTAGATGTAAGAACCAGTCTTACGAACTCGAGATTCTGGTGAATATACGCTACTACGACTTCCAATCTGTAATATTACAAATAGAAATTTAACTATTTAGAATGAAAAAGATTCAATTTCAAAGTTGAATTTATCGCGTACCTTCCTAAATAATCTTTGGCTGCCTCCGCCTGCAGATGTAGGGTAATAAATATAAATATTATGATCCTCTGCAGATACAGGTTTCTCCACGAATGGTTTATTAAATGTAACACCATTGACTTCTACATGATCTTCTGATTCCACCAATTCGTGATCTGAAATGAATTTTTTGTTATAAATCTCCAACAACATAAAATTGAATTAATATAAATAATGAATGTTATGTACGTTTTGGGTCAGATGAATCTCTATCTAGGACAGCATATCTTGGGATTTCAATACCTTCACTCTCTAAGATAGCATATACTCTTCTACGATCCTATCAAACATATTGATGTTATATAAAAAAAATAATATTTGATAAAACATTTGTTATAAATTACATACCTGAATATCATATTGCATTGGTAGGTTATTGATGATGAAAGGATTTCTAAGATTAGCATAATTTATAGCTTTATCAAGGGGAAAACCTTTACTATGGAAACTTATTAAACAATCAACAACTGGCCAATCTTCTACAGACTCCTGTAAATATATATGCCTTCATACTTAGAACTAAAAAATTTTCTATCTTGTAGTAATATTACCTTCAAAATAACTTCTTCAGGAAACACTACAATCTTAATGTATTCAAATTCTTCTAATCTTGTTAAAATCTCTTTCATTGGTTTACTCTGTGACTTTTTTGCCATCGCACAGATTCCAACCAAAACTTGCTTCCCTTCTCCTTCCAAATCACTTCCACCCATGCATCCATCATCATTGCTACACCCGTCCGACAGTTCGGCCTAAACGAAAATTCAATTATAAAGAGTCTGTGATATATTGTCATTTTATATACTCACCTTATATCATATGAAAAAAAGTTAGTAATAGTAAGAAAAATAAAATTCTAAAAGTGTGTGAAATTTTCACTTGTGTGCAAGAAATTAATAAAATGTTTATTAATAATTGTGTTAAATGTTGCTCACCCAGTACATTTTTAAGGAGGATAAAAAGCCAAGTCTATCAAGAGATTGTTTAGAATAGTGCTCATACAATCTCGATCTATTATTCATTCCTAGATGATTACAATTAAATGTAAAAAAAAAAAACCACATGCATTATTTGTTTACATAAACAAGAAAATATAAATTCAATACTAAATACATGATTTTTACAAATATATTGTATGTCTGGGTGACAAAAAAAAATTTTTTTTGTCATGTTATATTTGTCATATTGTTTGTCATTCTATATTTTACAACAATAAAAAGTTATATTCAATAACATATTTATAGAATTGCCAACAGCTTTAAATGTGTTAAAAAAAGTACATATTACATACAAAACAATCATCACAGTAGCACTCCATATCCAGATTTATGTCTTCAATATTAAAAACAAATAGAAAATTACTTTTACTATATTATAGTACCATTTTTCTAGAAGCCAGTAATCTTTCAATTATGTCCCTTTTACACAACAGTAGTTTCCTCACTTTGGAAATATACACTCACAATACTATTATTTAAATAATAAATTTAATTTCTATTATACTTTTTAAAATAATTTTAAATTTATATACCCCATATTTTAAATGTAAAATAAGCAAGTAATTAATTAAAATGTATTTTAACAATAAAATACAAAATATTTATATTTCACTTATTAAAAATATCATGAACATTATGAATAGAAACATCTACTAGCTTCTAACTACTTAGAACAATTGTGTACTGAACTGAAATTAAATAAAAGCAGACTAATAGAGTACTCTTTGTTTGAAGATAAGAAAGAACTATATCTCTAAAAAAATATGACTTATATAGTTTATCTTGAAACAAGGAAGCTTTTCCTGTATAAAAAGTAAGTGCTATAATGATTGTATATATATTTAAATAAATAGAAATGTTATGCAAATAATTTTTTAATCTTTTGCGTTAAATGTTATGAATCTACTAATAGGCTACAATTAAAAAATTAATAGTAAGAAACTCTACCATCATTTGCCAATATGGTTCTGCTTCATTATCACAATCAAAGATATAAACATCAGGAATTACGGTAGATGATAAAGAATTTGCATTTTCCATTATGGATTTAATTTCAAAATACCATAAAAAACTAATTGCATAATTACATACAATGACAGCCTTAATATTAATGGTTTGATATCATTAATATTAATATTTGTTAAAATAATTTTAATCACTTCAACAATTGATCTTTTCACGATATGTCTAATTCAGATTTATAATCATTAAATATTAATTCATCAATTCATGAAACTGATATACTGATTATTAACACATAACATGAAATTTATATGTTACATATGCAACTACACAGTCAAGTACAAAATGCATTTAACAAGTTTCATAGCTATTTATTTTTAGACTACTACAGTATTAAAGTCTTCATGAGTCATCAAGTTATTTAAAAGTAGTTTGTAGCACTGATACTTAAATAATGAATTCATTAATTTACACTTAGTGAAATATATTATTAGAAATAAACAAAATCATTGAAAATTACAACTGTCATTTCAAGTATGTGTCACAAAAAAAAGAAATATACATATATGACAAATACAGGTACTGTATAGTATTGTATAGAACAATAATTTTGTTAAATAAAGCAGTTTCCTAACCTTTGTCATATAATGTTTACTAATTTAAAATAGGCTAAAATTAGTACATACACATACAATGTACTTTTTTCATCACAATACTCTTTTCATTCATCTCCATATCTTATTTTTTTCATTTTCTAACTTAATCATATCATTTGCAGCAATTAATTCAATTTTAAAAAATCTTGAGAGCATATAATCAAATTAAGATACAAAATGAAAATTAAAATATAAATTTGTATTTTATGTTATTGATAAACTTACGATTTACTAGTAAAAGTACTTTTTCGTTACATATTATGGGAAGAACAAAACTTACTCTTTTTGATGAACGATATATAGAAGAAGCAACAGGACCCACGAGGGTTGGTTGTACAGAACTTAAGTCTCCTACATAGAAAATTGGTCGACTGGCACTCCGTAGACCCTATTGATTAATTATTATCAAACTAAAGTTCATGTTCTTTTTTCTTGATTAATATAGAAACTTACTTTAACTTAAAAACGTACTTAGATTCTTTAACAAGATTATTGTATTATTATGCAAAGTAACTTGAGAATTAAATAAATTTTAAAGTTAATAAAATAAAAGAAAACTTATATTAAATTTCTTCTGTGAAAAATCTATTTTAGAATTAGCAAAGAACCAATGGCTACAAAATTATTCAAAGTAACATTAGGTGTTTCACAGAAATAAAGAATATCTCTGTTTACCTGATAACCATGTTCCAATTCAGTGTAAGACATGACAGAATGGGTTTCATTGAGGAAACAAGAACAGTTTCAACTTGAATTCAGAGAGTTCGCCGTGCCCTGAAATGATTGTTGCCAAGTGTAAACAAAACATTTAAACAGTAATCATTGCTCAAAAATTTGAATTGAATTATTCTCATAACAAAGAACCTTTCGATAGACAATGATAATTGCATAATTACATTTTGAGTAATTCTCGAATTCAAGAGTGATAAACGTTATCATATACTATCAGTCGATTCGTTTAAATTTATACATATTCATTACTTACATTCAATGAAAATATAGCCAAAAGCGTAAGATAACCTCGACGATGATATTTCCGTGTCTTTTACAGTAATTCGAATCTAATCAATCCGCTAATAAAATTATATCGGCACAATCATCGTTTAAAATAAACAACGCTAAGTGAAATGAATTTTAGACGATGCTGCGAATATGTTGTGACTTGTTTCGCTTCCTCCTCTTGTCGATGTAACGTCGACAACTTTAATTAAACTCACCAATCCCAGCCTCGAATTAGCTTAAGGACTCGATGCTAAGGACGACAGTGCATAACCGACATAACAATATCGTATTTCTAGTTAATTAAATATCCTTCGCTTTAATATCTTTCAATTTTCAGACATCTTGTCAAACTTGAATCTCGATCTCTCGTATCGTTCGAAAATCGCGTTCTAAAACACGCGCAAATCGATATTGCATCATTGAACGTAAACAGAAAAAAAAAAAAAAAACAATGTATTGCAGAAGATCGTAGCTCGAAGTTGTTAAAAAGAGGGATATATAAAAAACACAGGGATATTCCATACCGTGCATCAATTTTATTTAAAGTTCAATTATAAAATGTTATTGCGTATTTACATCGTAATAGGTCCGCATTGATCAAAGAATTACAAATCTTTACTCAGTTTTTCAATACCAAATTTTGAATTTTTTTTTCTTTTTCTTTTGCAATGTAACCGTTGTAACGACATTCAATCATTGAGCAACATAATGATCATGTAATTCTAATATTTTCTTTTTTTCTCATATATATATATGTATGTATATATATATATATGCACGCGCGCGCGCGCGCGTGTGTGTGTATCACGTATAAAACAAAATAAACATACATATCATGTACAAGCGTAATTTATCTTTTTTTTTCTTTCTAGAAACTACTTCGGTTATACAGTGAAGACCATAACTGTATTAACGACAATGAAAAATTGTTGATAATTTAAGTTGATATAACTTTGGGAGGGAAAAAAAAAGATCGCTGTATGATCATTTTTTATAAAGTTGTATCAGTTTAAATTATCAGCAATTGTCGTTTACACAGTTACCTTCTTCGCTATAAATGAACATTTGAAATGATTACTGTTTAAAGCTTTTGATTTCACGCAATTTAATTTAAATATTAACCTTTCAATCCAACTGCTTGCTAATTACTTATGTCTTTTCATTTGCAATTTCTTTTAACGCCGGGATAAATATATACATTATGTACTTAAATATACTGCAGTAAAAAAGGAACTGTATACAATACTCAGAACCATAAAAATTATACAAAAGTAAGGAAAAGCAGTATCTGAATATACACTGTAAAATTGAATAATAAAACAGGAGTCATAATATTAACAATGTAACAACCTTGAATAAATGCAAGATACAATAATCCTCGAGCTAAAAGCGTTCAATTCGCCTTTTTTCTAGAAATAAAATATAATCTACTTCACTGTAATTAGTGATGGAGCTACATATTTTACAACATTATTGCACTAGATTTATCTTTCATTCAAATTAAATACAGCTTGATTAGCAAAAGCCAAAATAACAATACGTTTTTACAGAACAGGACACAAATGTAAAAATTTGTAATAATGTCCTTTATCAAATACGTATTATAAATGTAATACGCATATAATAATAATACGTATTATAAATAATTTACGAGAAACTAAGTTGAAACTAAATTGAAAAATCGCACCCGTCCTATATATAGTATGAATATGAAAATTTATATGCAAAATTTGTACTAACACCTTATATACTTAAACATTTTCACTGAAAAAATTCAACGCTATTGATTGTTGATGGTTAGTCCTTCAAGCCAAATGAATCTTTAATTTTCGTTAATTCGTTTGGTCGAAATTGTTCATTTGATGTTTATGGTTTTCTTCAATATTTATATTCTATTTACTGTCAGCCCATTGGCCTGACATTAGGCGTCATTGCGATTTCATTGACACTAACTTTCTTGAACGTGCTCGCGCCTCTGTACGAATATTTGTATATTCAAACCAGAGGATATTTGGAATTAATGTCGTATCACGTAATAATAGATATTCTGATATCCGCCTGAAAATAACATTCGAAGGTAATACAATTTTCTATAAGGCCAAAAAGCTTTTTTAATGATAACTTACCATGACACAATTATAGGAAAAATTGGTGTAAGAACTACGTGTGTAATTGCAAACCATACTGCTCCTAATATAAGACCTATGAATGTACCCCACAGAACCTGAGAGTTAGTATGATATAATAAATAAACTCTACTGTATGTCATTAAAATAGCAACAATTATACAAGCAGCTATGACAGTAATCCTCCAAAATTTTTCTGAGATGCTGCTATTATTAGCGTGATGTAACCTACAAATGTACACACATATTTATAAATATATATAAAACATGTAACAAATACTTTCGGAAGATTGGATTACCTAATGCATATGAAAAGCGTAGTGTACATGGCAAAAAACCAAATGAATTGTGCATGCATTGATGGCATACCATATTCAACATAAACAGCATTGCGTTTCATTGGTCTTGCTTCACAGATTGTATGTTTTAATATAAAATTTATACACTCGTTAAATATAACACCACTAAAAAAACTAATCTGAAAAAAAATTATCTTACATATTGAAATTACAAGCATATTAAATTAATTAAGAACTTACACTTACTGTGTGCAAATCTCTTCTAAATAGGATCAATGTTATAAAACCAGCTATAATAACAAATGGTATCAAACTTATCAGGGCTAAAAATTTTCCAAATAAATCACCTGCAAATTAAAGGGAATTTAAATAAATAACTTTAAATAACTTTCAGAGAAACTAGATTTTAATACGGATACGTAATGTCTAAAAGCATCAAGTCTTAAAACGTTGTTCTTGAATAAAATGTGTTGTTGGGGGTGTTCTTGATAAACATATGTATGCAAAAGATTGAAGTAAACAAAAATTACTCAATAGACGGGAAAAATGAATCAATCGGAAACAAAATTTTGATTAAAAAGTATATGCGACGTTTGACTAATTTACTTTAAAGGTACAGTACTTTCTAAAAAAAAAAAAAAGGAAAAAAACATTAAGTGTACAAAAAATTTTTATATAATGCGAGGAAAAGACAATGAAATTATCCTTTGAAAAATCCTTTGAAATATTTACCTTGAGGATATTCGACTAAAGTAAGAGACAAAGGGATCCATTCGGATTTTTTGACAGTGTCAGCAAAGCGTGATTTAATTTCATAAAACGAGTCGTCATCTAACGATGCCATGTTATCGAAATATTTGAAGTGACCATAACTCGGACAACTCACCGCGCAGCAACAATCATGGAATCTAAAGAATAATGGTAGAGACCTGAGTAGAATAATTTCAACGTGCACACAGTTTAACAGATATCCGAAAAAATAAAAAAAAATGATTTTCTTTATATCTTCTAATATACAATCATACATAATCCTGCATTATTACATCTTTGTTATAAATTTAGATTATTACGTATTTAATTTAATACCACGTATAAATATTGATAAAAACAAATAAAAAAAAAAAGTTTTAAGTACCCGCAAATAATAATTCGTGAGAATCAAAATAATTGAAAAATACGGTCTCTGCTATGTAATATTACGTTACTATTTAATCTCGAATCGTATTACGTGCAATAAGCGTGCAAATTTTTAATTATATCAACAGTAAGAACGCGTACGTACGTATATAAATGTAATTTTTTCTAACGGTTTCGCATTCTTGTTGTATAATATTTCGTAGCATTCGAACGCCAGACAAATGTCTACAAAATATGAAATTGAATTATGCAGCCTCAACTAGTGACTTGAAAACGCGAAGTTACTATCCCGGGTTTGGGAAATGCATTGTACACTGCGTAAGAAGCGGGAGAGGTAGCGAATTGGATAGTTGTTTGCTGCTTTGATCGATGTTTGCTTCCTGTTTGTGGTATTAATTTCACTCGAGAATCGTGCACAATGTGTATATTGTTTGTGACATTGATTTGCCGATCATTTTGCAATTCTTCTAGAACTTTTTAAGAAATTTCGTTCATCTTACGTTTGACTACGATCTGTACGCCTGTACAGTCGACAGAAATTTTTTAAACTATGTGATGAATTAATGTTTTAGGTAACGTACGACTCTTCGTATATTGTATCATTATTGTTATTATCGGCTGTGATATTGTGAATATTATTTATACCATTTGATGATGATAATATTAATCCATTACTAACGACGCAAAGTGTAACAATAACATTTGCAAATTTCGTATTGATATTTTATTTACATCTTCGTTTATCTTTCATTGCGAATCTTCACTTTTCTGCATATCGCGTATAATTACATATTAATGGAATATTTGTTTCATTCCTTTCTATTAAGAATATCTGTTTATCATATATATTGTTTTGATCATAGCTTTTGTATTGGAATGTTATATGACATTCTTTGAACCACATGGCATACCAAGATACTGCAAATTACTTAGCACTCTGTGCGAATAACCAACATGTGATAGAAGGTTTAAACGAGAGGCTGATAGGAAGTAGCATATCTCAATCATTATATGACCTAAACAATAGCAATAATAGTGTTACAGTTGAAAATGCAGCATCTGTTTCTCCGCTATTAAGTCACTATAAATATCATTGTTTCTCGCATTATGATAGTCCAGTCAATTTCTCGTCTTTACCAACGTATCTTCCACCCATTGGTGTATTTTGGGATATAGAAAATTGCCATGTTAGTATTAAATCTATTATAATTATATATCAGTGAAATGTATTATATAATATTGTCATATTTGAACGTAACACTTCTCATTATTTTATTTGCAGGTACCAAAAGGAAAGTCTGCCATAGCTGTAACACAGATAATTAGAGAAAAATTTTTTAGTGGTTATAGAGAAGCAGAATTTATTGTAGTTTGTGATGTCCTAAGAGAAAATAGTCGCGTTATGAAAGAATTGAATAACGCTCAGGTAAGCTAATCAACATGTTTTTTTTGAAGTTATTAATTTCAATGCTATAATATTGTGTTTATAAATTTTGTGTCTCAGGTTAATTTAATACATGTTGCTAGAGAAAGTAAAAACGCTGCTGATGAAAAACTCAAACAATCCATTAGAAGGTTTGCTGATATTCATGGAAGTCCAGCAGCTGTAATTTTAATATCTGGTGATATTAATTTTGCTCCTGACCTCAGTGATTTACGTTATAGGAAGAAAATTCATGTGATACTTATACATATGAGAAATGTAGCTGAAGCATTAATATTATGTGCCAATGAGCATTATGATTTCTCAGAACTTATGGAATCACTACCACGTAAAACTGCACAGGTAAATACTTGTTAATTTTCAAATTCGATAATTTTTTAGACTTTTCTTTAATAAAAGTGAAACACTCAGCTGATTTCTAATTTTGTAACTATAACTTTATACAATAAACTGTTTCAATATAATTGCTTTTTTATTTTTATATTTATTATAAATTTGTGTGTACTAAAAAAAGTTATGTGCATATGTATGTAAAGTAGATTAAAATATTAATATATTAATTATCTCTGTATGTATATATATACATATTTTAGTATCTTGTAAAGTTATAAATTTTTCAGACTACTACACATGATCTCATAGTTACTAACCTTCCTGAATATCAGGATGGGTCCATTAAATACAATTTGAAACAAATGTTCGAAAGTTATGGCGGTCAAGTGGTAGAAATTCAGTCAAGTACTGCAATTGTACGTTTTACTTCAAAAGCTTTCGCAGAAAGGTATATATTTATTATATTCTCATTTTTGTTTAATTTTGTACATATTTATGTTTAACTGCGTGGATAAAGTAATAACAATATGCTAAAATATTGCATTTATAATCACAATAGAAATAAACATAATATCAGAGATATTTTTATGTTTGAATAACCCGCCTATTAAGTAACCAATGAATTGTTCTTGTTTACAAACATTCTATTGGTCTGTTTAATGTTAACAAAAAAGATCAGCATTTGAAATAGTAGGGGTAAATACATAAATAAGATAGAATTTAAACAGCATGTAGCAATGTAACGAATTTAGTGGCACTGTAAGAAGATCATAATTTTGATTTGTATAACATATTTAATTCATTTATGTATGTAATAATAATTAGTGTTAAAAAATTGTTATTTCTTTGATATATTGTTATTATTTATCATTTTATTTATCTATATTACAATGTTGACGCGAACTGATAATTTTATTTATACATAAGGTAAGCTAATAACACAATTGCTAGTAGAAAAGAAATTATTACTCTGAAATGAGTGGAACCATTTAGCAGCGTGTATATATTAATTAAAATGCATTGAATTTCTTTGAATAATTAATCGGCATTATAAGTTCGTATTATAAATGTGTTTATTAAAATCTTCAAGGTCATTTATAGATACGATTGATTATCTTGTGTGTTGGCACTTTGTAATTACGGTTAACTGACTTTGCTTAATAACAATGTGACTCTTTTTTTTTATAGGGCTCTGAAACGTATAGATGGGAAGATTGTCTTTGGTTCGAAAATTTCTGTAAAATTTCAAAAAGAGAAAGCAAATCACTTTCAGAAAATTCGAGGTAATCTTCTTATTTATATAATAAAATATATGTGTATGTATCATTTATTAATAATGTGTTCTTATACTTTTAGCAAATTTTATAAATAGAAACGGTACCGTAAGTGAGTCAGAAATTATTACTAGTTCTCCAAAACAAATGTATAGTGCAAGTGCTGCGTTATCGGGTGGAAGACCCTTTCAGTTTTCACACTATCAGCCATCGTCGCCTGTTATTGGAACGTATTCTGGATGGAATGCTCAATGTACTTCTGCCTCAGCACCAGTAGGGTAATTGTAAACTACAGCTTTTAATTACAACTGTATTGATAGCCACAAAAATGATGAAAGTCCGAGAAAGAGTCTTGTAATCGCAAGTAGATAGTGTCCTCGTTTGATTTAGATTTTCGAGTCGCGAGTAGACATTATCCTTGCTCGATTTGGACGATGAAGTTATAAAAGCTTTGATCTTATCTGATAGAGTATCTAGCGAAATAATGAGAATTGCTGTAAATATTTAAAGAGTTAAAATCATTATATTTGTTTCTTTACAGGCTAGTTCAACCATCATCCGTTTTTGTTGGGAGATCGTATTCAAATAATAATAACAACAATAACAGCAATGTAACTTTTAATAGAACTTATAACGAACTTGCAAGGGCCCAATCTCCATTATTTTGGCAAATCTCTGGTTCCCAACAATTCGGTCATGTATGGGAAGAACAATATAAGGTATACTTTCATTGAAATTTTAGCTTTACGAACTGTTATAGTTGTAATTATATGTAATTTTTATTTGTTACTTATATTAATTTAAGGTGGAAAAAACGAAAGTACTTAGTAGAAGAATTCATATTCCGCAGGCTCGGGATAATGTAAATAATAATGTAGCTTCTCGAAACTCTGAAGGTTTAAGACGTATGAGAGGTACACATACTTCACTCGTTCAACCAGAATGGACTGGTACAAGGCAACAACATCCTCCATTGAATGTTTCTGCAAATATGAATGGAATTAGTATGTCAATCACTTCCTCTTTTTTCTCTAAAAAAATCTTCAATAATAGTTGACAAATTTTTAATACATATGGCAATCTTTAATACATAGCACAATCAAATTTTAAACGTCGAAGTTCATCTCCTATGTACGACTTGCAATCTCGAGAACGAAATCAGTGGAATGGACAGGTACAAATTAATTTAAGATCAAAATTAACAAAATTGAAATAGATGTTTAATAGCTGTCTTTCTGGAAATCGGCAGAATACGTCTGTACGTAGTACTAGAACACCGTCGCCTTACGAAAATACAGTACAAATGATAGGCCAACAAAGTAATCATACTTCACCTTATCATCCAAGTGATACGGAAAATGAAGAAGTTGAGGTACTTTTATTTTTTTCGTATTCTTTGTTCGCTCTTCTTATCCTCTTTTAACCGATTCTTTTAACTAATAATTTGTTTTTTTCTCATACATGTTAGAAATTTTTCAATCCAATAAATAATCATAATGGAACATCAACGAATAGTGAAATGCCTATAGAACTGCAAGTAACTAACTTAGACCAAAGTATTAATCCAAAAAAGATGAGACATATGCTTGTCTCTATTTTTATGGAACACGTGATGGTAAATATTTAGTATTAGAATTAGTATTATCGTAACATTAAATTTCTTTGCTTATTGTTTAATGTATGTTTTAGGTGTTAAATGTTTCTATTTTTACACAGTCTGATGGTAACTTTGCGGCAAGTGTCAAAGTACCTTCTTTATCAGACGCACAATATGCAATTTCTCAGTTACATCGTCGTAAAGTAGGATATAAACGTATTTTGATATCGTACGCTCATAGTGGTAGAGCAAGTCCCCAGGTTGTACGAGCACAAATTGTGATGCTGTTGCAAGAAGTACCTGGTCATAAACTTCCTCTTTTTAAGTTTCGAGAAATGTACGAGAGCCGTTTCATGATTTCTATCAGCGTTTCCGAATTATATAAAATGAAGGATGTTTGTATCGTTACGGAGGATCCTGGTGGTAGAATGGTTTCTCTTAATCCGGATCACAGAAACACGCCATCGCCTTGTTTTAATAATACAACACAGGTACTTTAAACTTTATTTGATATACTGTCATATACGATTCTAATTCTAGGTTCACGATGATGTATATCAAGCCGAGTTTAAGCTTTTCCGATAAGAGTGGAGTAATGTTATTCCTCTTATCGTTGAGAGGTGATGACGATAATCTAAAAGCGTTGAAAATTATTCTGAAATATCATAAATAATATTTAACATGTAAATGTGTAAATTATACACGGAGCATAAATGTTTATATATAATTTTCTAGGAGGATCAAGTAGAATTGCCATATTGTACTGTCCATACGTTAAAACCATGGTCTGATAAAGGATGGGCAGAACAAAAAGTAGCATCACTTCCTAATGTGAGAATTTCTTTAAAAGTTCTCGATCCACGTATACATCAATTACTAACAACGCATAATGGAAGTTTGCCATTGCCTAGGTACGTTATTGCATTGTAATTTTTAAACAGGACTTAATTACTCTTGTTTTCGTTAAATAATTTTCTTCATAATAAATTAATTTTAGTTTGCCAAATTGTTACGAGGCTGAATTTAAAGAAAAATTACAAGTAGTTATCAACGGAGTACCCTTAGAACATCTAGTATCTTGTCTATCCTGTGTTGAATTGAAACAAGGTATTGGTAGTGTAAAGTATCTTATATGGACAGGAAATAAAACTCATGAAAATAATCATGAAGGTAAGATCTTCGGTGATGGTTAAATTAATCAATGATTGATTAACATTGGTGTAACGTACCGTTTTTTTTTTTTTTTAGAGAATAAATGTGTGAGTTCTCCGCTTGCAAATCAATTAGCACTTTTCAGTCGTGAATTAGTCGATCTTCTGAAAACTGCTCCACACTGCCAGTTACCATTTAACCGATTTATACCCGCATATCATCATCATTTTGGAAGACAATGTAGGGTTGCTGATTACGGATTCACCAAATTAATTGATTTGTTAGAAGCGCTCACTCATACCGTACAAGTACGTAAAAGAATTAAATTCATTTGAGGTAAACTATTTAACTGGGTCTTTAAGGTCTTAATTATTTTAATTTAGGTGATGGGTGAAGGAAATAATCGTGTGGTTACTTTATCTCATCGTGCTCAAGTACGTCGTTTCACGTCTGATCTTCTGAGAGTTTTAAAATCTAAAGCTAGCAAACAAGTAGCACTTTCAGAATTTCCAAACGTTTATGCTAGAGTAATAGGTAAAGATTTTCAGCGGTATTAAACAATTACAACACAATGGACAAATATATAAAAGAAAAATATTTTTTTCTTTTTTTTTTAGCCAAACCATGGGATATTGTAGATTATGGAGTATGTGAAATCGAGGATATTCTCAATGAGGTATCAGAAAATACTGTGGTCGTTACTACGACCAATGGAGGAGACAAAATGATAGCTATTCCTAAGCGAGAACAAACTGCAGAAGAGATAGAACGAACAAAACAATTTGCTACAGAAGTACGTGATGTAAACGAAATTAAAAATATAAAAATATAATTATGTATTTATATTGAAAGTATTTATATTCTATTTAGGTTATTGAGTTGTTACGACACGCACCTCAATGCAGAATGCAATTTAACAAGTTCGTGCCATCGTATCACCATCATTTTGGTCATCAGTGTCGAGTGTCAGATTATGGCTTTACAAAATTAATTGAACTGTTTGAAGCGATACCGGAAATAGTTAAAATAGAAGATGACAGTTCTGGAGAAAGGCAAATTTCTTTGACAGAGAAGGAAGGTATCCGTGTACTTTCCGAGCAAATATCCAAATTAATTACCCGATCGAGAGGTTGTCTTAGTATTTCTAATATTGCACAAAATTTTTTACATCTATTTGGTTATGCATTAAAACCGGAATTATTCGGTTGTGCCTCTATGTTGCAACTTATGCAAAAACTTGGAGATACTGTGAAGGTATTTAAGACAAAACATTAAAATTATTATCACACATGTTCAATGTTTAAATTTATTAATTTTCCAGATTGTGTATTTGCCAAGTAGACCTGTAGTTATGATGATAGATAAATCTCACGTAGAACAATTAACTTTACAATCCCGTCGATTGTTAATGGATAAACCTCAGCATAAAATGCCGCTTCGTGAATTCCAACATTTATACGCTCAATATTATTTGAAATCGTGTAATATAGATGAACTAAAGCAAAATTTATCTAACGTAGTTCAAGTAAGTTCTTGTTTAATTTTAAGTAAATTTAGCCTTGTAAGAAGTTTGCATAACTGTAGATATAATTTTAGTTTACAATGGTGAACGACGAAGAGTTTATAGAACTTACACCGTTACATTCTTTTGCTTGTAATTTATATCGTGTAATGATGAACTATGGTGGAGTATTGAAACTTTCGCAGTTCGAGGCAGCATATCTGTCCACTATAGGTTCTGTTTGTAAACCTACAGACTACGGTTTTCCAACAATTTCTATACTTTTACAAGCATTACCTTGCACGGTAACAATAAACTTGTCACGGCGTAAGAAAAACATCATATATTTAAATAAAAAAGTTACTGGTATGTGTGAAAATTGTTGTTTTTACAATTTGTTTCAAAATATTCATAATGAAAATTTCATGTCTCTATATACTTTTATAAGCAGCTGTAGGTATGGCATTACCGCCAACATATACATCAGCATCGTCGTACCGCGATACAGATTCTAGTAACGAGTCGTTTGAAAGTGATTCGTCCTGTCACGTTAATGTTTCAAACAATTCAACTACGCTAGAACAAACAAATTGGTCAGAGCAAGTTACTGAAAATCAGGATTCTTGGAAACAGACAAATAAAGATAATCTGTGGTCGGAAGAATTTAATAAATCTTGGAGGATTTCGAATTCGGAAGATAGATTGATCAATTGGTCGTTGCAAGAAAACGGGAGTGAAAGTTTTCTGAAAAGCCTAATGCAAACACCAATTATACCTCGTGGTTTTCCACCTGCACCTCCTAAACCAGATTCTCCACCTGAGGTACTTCCTTAATAAACGTGCTTTTTATTTAATAACCTACGTGATAATAATAAGATTCTATTTTTTTAAATTACAGGAAGATGTAGATAAAAATCAGTGGGAATCATCAGTTTGGATAACACCAACGAAATTTACATATCCACAAGATGAACATACTACGAATGTACAGGTAAATATCACATATATACGAATAAATTCAATTATTTTTTTTTTATAGTTATTGATATATTTTCTTTGTGTTAGGTTCCTCCATTAATTTTACCTCCTTCTTGGAATCAAATAACATCCAACGATAGTAGCTTACTATCACCAACGAAAAATTTATTACCTGCTGCAGCTAATCCTTTAAATCCACGTACTTCGCCATTTTTCTCTTCCAAGCGTAGCTTGGTCATTGCCCCTCATCCTTCTGAATTGCCTCTTCCATCGTTATCACTAACTCCCAAAAAGATTGTCACTTCAGAGGATACTGATGTAACTGTTGAAAGTGTTAAGCAGGAAAAGATCTATAACAATTCCATAGACACTGTAAATCTTAAAAGTAACGGAAATGATAGTAGCAACATGGAAGACAGTGGTAGTAAAGAAAAACATAATGTTTCTGTAAAACAATGTAAGTAATTTTCTTCTTTTAATAATTGATCATTATTTAAATTTTAGAGTACTATATATTGAATAATAATGTTTCTTTTTTTTCTTTCCCCCAAGTATTTCCGAGCAAACGTCGTTTAGCTGCTCAATTTAATCGACCTATTGAGTCATGAATTCAGTGTGGGAACTAAGTATTTATGTACACTGCGGGAGCAAAAATGCAGATATCTAAGCACATTTCGCCATACGATGTGTGAACGGAGTTAATAAAAAAAGGGAATGTATTAGTATCTCGGTAGGCTGTCACACAGTGGGTTCAAATACCTATACGCCATTTTTTAAATGATGGTAGGTACCCTCCCCCCATTTATATATATAAAATTACGCTAATAATATATCGATTTGATACATATGGGATAGAAAACAGAATTTATTTTCAAGAGGTATGAAACACGTACGTAAAATACCTATATACTAAGTACCTATAATTTTTGATTTAAAAATTGTGAATAAGTGTGCAGCGTTTATACCGAATGATCTATACTGGTTGTATTGCGTGTCAAATTTATGTAATATTTTTCATACTGTGATATAGAATAGAAAAAAAAGAAAACTAATGCAAATGATAATGCATAAGGATGAATAGAATGTGAGCAATAATTGTACAAATTTTATAGGATTGGGCCAAAAATCTTATATTAAAAGTTACTATTTTTTGTCGTAATAATAAAGTTATATCTAAGTAAAATTTTGTAAAATGAGAAAATTAAAATCGAATTTTTTGTTCATTCATATTGTAAATGCCAAGTATACTTTTTTTTTGGCTGCATTAAATGAACGGATTTTCCGTCATCGAGATTGGCTCAACCCTATTGTTGTAGATTATTCTCATAAAAAATGAATTGTACTAGGAAGATCAACGTATAAACCGTCAAATTGTTGTTGCTTAACAATAATCGTACTATCAATCATGAAGTCCAAAACAATTCATTTTTATAACTTAACGTTAACTTTAACTTCTATTCGTACAATTGTTTTTTTCATTCGTGTCAAAGGATTCCTTTTCTTATTGTCTGTTCATTTTTTTTTTTTTTTTTTTTTTTTTTTTTTTTTTTTTTTTTTTTTTTTTTTTTTTATTGCGTACACGATACTTTGTAATTCTATTACGAATGAATGCTTTTTGAGAATTCCAATAATGATTGAAGTGCAATGTATGATATTTTGAACTGTCATACTACTTCCTTTTGTATAAATGAGAAGTTTTTAATTCAAGGAATCATTTAAGTTTAATATTAATATTAGTAAATCACTATTCAGTCAAACTCATGAAAATGGATAAAAACAGAAGCATAATATACAAAATGAAATTTTACGAATTCTATTTAAATTTTTCGAAGGGAATGTTGAATATAGTGATAGGCAATAAATATTTTATCGAAACGAAGACAAAAGCACCTTCGTATCCGTCAAAGTTTCAATATTTAATGTTACTTTTAGTAATGACAATATTATTCTAAGATATTTTGTTTTCAGTGTCAAGTGAAAACAGAGGGAGAAAAAAGATATTGATCATAACATTCATTGCAAGAAGTATATGATTAATACATTTAATATATGATACGAATGAATGGCAAGACAATTGCTCTCTTTCAAACATGTATAAATGATCTTGTTGATCTCATATTTTACTTTATCATTAAGAGGTATTTTATATTAAAAATAAAGTACATATACAATTTCGTGAACAAAGGGGAGCCAGATCAAAAATATTATTGCGAATTGTTAAATGTATTAGTTGCCACTGAAAAGATTGCACAGAAATTCGCTACATTGTTTGAGATATTATTAAATGAAAGAATCACAAATCAATTTAATCGTATTAAAATTTATGATTTGTTATAGGACAGTCATATGTATTAATATTTTTATCATGTTTTGCAAATCTAATTTGTATTAATTTATTCAGATCAAATGAAATAGCTTTGTTATATGTTGTATATTTATTATGTAGGAATGTGGGTTCTATTGTATTTTATATTTATGTGAAAAGAGTGATATAATTTTTACTTTATTTTTTAAATTGTACGAATTCGTCAATTTTGATTTTCTATTAGTCACAATAAGATTCCTTTTTATATTTTAAAAAGTTTTTATTTGTGAATTTAAAATATTTAATATTAAGCATATATATTTTTCGTAAATTATTTAAAACATTATTTATAATAAATTTTATTTTATTTATTATCTTAATAATGTTCTGACTAATAGAAAATTTAATTGGCCTTTATGCAAAAAAAAAAATGTCAAAAATGCGTAAGATACTGTAATAATTGCATAAGAAAGTTTTATTGTAATAACAAATACAAAAAAAAAAAATTACGAAGTATAAATAATCAATGGAATCTTCTGAACAAGTATTGAATAAAATAATTTGTTATACAATAAATCAACAAATTTTTGGTGTATATTGTTGTTATAAGTGGCAGAGTGAAAGTATAAAACTTAAAAATCAAATTTCTGAGAGCAAATTTTAAGTATTAGTTATACAATCGTCATAAAAATGAAAAATAGTACAGTCTATAGTACAATACATTAATTTATTTTACCTTTTTTTTTTTTTTTTACAGAGTATCTATCTACACAACGATGCAAACTCAGCATTGTCTCAAACCGAGATGTAACATGTACATTAATTTAATAATTTATATATCATATTTTTTATTACTTATGCCACTACCAACTGGACCATGACGTCGTTCCCAAATCATACGATGTTTCTGTTTCATATACGCATCAAGTACGCTATGTGGTACACCAATGTCTCCATCTGTATTTCATCGAAACGTAAAGATTACAATTAAAGTTTTTACACAAAGAGAATTTTATATATGTGTATATATATATATGTATATATATTCATACATTTTGTAAACCAAGCACCAGCTGCGTCTTGATAAGCTGTGTATAAGTCAGCACAAAATTTGTCTCTGTCTTCTATTCCGTAGTACCAACTACAATCTTCATACCGTTGCCTCAGTATAGCAAGAATCTCGTCATCGACTAGCCTAATTTCAACCCAATATTCAGCATTAAGCATTTAATTAACAACTCGGTAAAAGTACGGTTTCATACAGATATTTAACAAGAGATGTACTTATCACGTTCAAATTGGTGTTGTGCCTCCACACGACAGACCATGTCTTGCTCACGACACTCATCGATCGTTGGAACCCGGCGAAATTTCTGATGATACCATGGATAGCTCTTCTGATTCGGCACGACAATATTTTCTGTTAAAATAAATTACATACGTACTGTCATCGACCTTTTTGATAATATAACCAAACGACATGATTAGGTAATACCTCGGAAATACACGACTGGTGTGTCGATTAGATAAATTATTTTATTCATTATT